AAAAAAAAAAAAAAAAAAAAAGGAAGGTTGGGTATCTAGGAAGAGAACCTGTGGCCACATTTGCTTATTTCCAAGGCACTTCTAGAACACTTCCATTTGTGAACACATGAATTATTTGTGTCTCCATGTGTGTCTCATGACTAAATCCAGGGAACATAGCTGCCTATCCCAGAATCCAGGATGAGAGAATCTTGAAATTGATGCCCAGCAAAGTAAAGGGGAAAAAGAAAAGGTTAGGACCTGCTTTTTTCTACATCCCCAATTAAAAAAATAATGTTTTTGCTTTTGAATTGAAATGCCATGAATGTCTCACTGTCCTTGGAAAGTTACTAAACGTATTTCTCACAAAATTTTTGTGAAGGTTAAATGTGAAAACATATGCAAAGTGCTTACTTAGCACAGTACTTGTATGAGTTAGGTGTTCAATAAATAAATATCCTTCCTGGGAAAAAGTACATAAAATATGTTTTTAAAATGCAGTGGAAATAAACTAGGTAATATACATTTCAGAGAGATAAGGAGAAAATTCTCTAATATTTGCAAATTAAACAATATACTACCAAATAACCAAGAGGTTGAAGAAGTCAAATTAGAAATGGTTGAAACTAAATTACAACAAAAAATAACACAAAATATGTGCGATTCAGCTTAGAGGTAAATTTTTTTACTTAAAACCCATGTATTAAAAAAAAAAAGAATGACTAACATTTTGATAATTTACTTATCCATCTTAATAAATAAAAAGCCATCAAGTTATTCTTGAATAAAGTAAAATAAAATGATTAAAATATAAACAGATATTAATGGAATAGAATACACAAGAAAACAGAGAAACATCAAAAAACCCAAAGTTGGTTCTCGAACAAATGGTGGACGCTAAGCAGTAAGACTAGTGAGACAGGGCAGCGTCCTTAGGTCAGTGGTTACAGTGCCGGCCACATACACTGAGGCTGGAGGCTAAAAAACAATGACAACTGCAACAAAAAATAGCTGGGCATTTTTTCTGGGCTACTTGGGAGGCTGAGGCCAGAGAATAGCTTAAGCCCAAGAGCTTGAGGTTGCTGTGAGCTGAGACACCATGGCACTCTACCCAGGGTGACAGTTGAAACTCTGTCTCAAAAATAAATAGATAAATAAATAAATAAAAATAAAAGCCTAGTGGTGGTGGGGAAGTAAACGATCAATATTAGAAATATTATCAATATTAGGAAGGACAAAAGGACTGATATTATAGATGCAATAAGTAAGGGAAAATAAAATCCCCAAATTTAGAATTGACTATTCCTGCAGGACTGAGCTTCTGTGAAATGCAGATCTTGGGCTTCCCAGGCATCTGTCAAAACAGCAGTCTGCTCTCACCTGCTTTGCCAAGAGAGTGAGGAAGGCAGTGAGGTCTGCACCGTTGCCATTGTTCTTTAGGCTTGCCTCCTTCTCAGCTAAAAAAGAAAAAGGGTGATTAATAACAAGAGAAAGACAATTGGTCTTATGAAAGCCCTAGTGAAGAAAAAAGGAATATTTACGACAGACAAGACAAAGTAGGTTGTTTACTACATTACGGAAACAGTGGAGAACAGCGGATTGTTTTTCTAGATGCAACAGGGTTAAACTGACTGAAACCGAGCTAGAGCCAAGAGAACTTTTGAATGTTTCATAGAAAAAAGGCAAATTGAAGATTAGACACGAATTATAAATAAATTGAACATTTTGGTTTATTTCCTACAGTGTTTTACCATGGCCCTACCTTTTTTAACATCACACATGAAATCATCAATTCCCCAAAAATGTGTTCCCTGGAATTATGATACTTAGTTAGCCATCAGCAGACTTGTGTTTGTGTGTGCGTGTGTGTGTACACATGTGAGCACAATTGCATCCAGAAAGGATAAGAGCAGGTAGTGAAGGAAGTACCTATGGTAAGAGGAAAAGCCCCGGAGACCATTCTACAAAGACAATTCATTAGGATTTCTTGACCCAGGGGACCATGGGCCTGACACATCATACCTATCCAGGCCTCTACCATATCTGCCTTCCAGTTAAACTGCTGGAAAGCATAATCATCTTCTAATTGCAACTTCCAAGCAGCTATTGCCTTGGCCAGAGAAGGGGTTTTTTCATTCAGAGCCTCTATCTTTGCAGAAATCTTCTCCTTGTTCTGACTTTCTTCCTGCAATACCAAAGTTAAAGGGAGAAGGAGAAAGACAGATGTACTGATGAGTGTCCAAAGCTAAAAATGTGAATTCTTTAGTACCATTAGAAACTCTTACCTTTTACCTCTTTCATTCCAAATATATACCTAAGTCTTTTATAATTATCTTATTATCCATGTGGAAGGTTAGTTATGTCCACACTACCATTCGTATGGTCTGCTCATGCGCCTATGTAAGCATGCATTTTTTTTGTTCGTGTAAAAAGGAAGGCATGGTGGCATCTCCATTTGAGGGAGAGAGAGGTGTCCGCATGTAACACTTAGATCAATGAGGCTTTTAAAAAACAATATTTAAAGAAAACAATGTTTTTCAAATTACAAAAAAATTTCACTATGGTCCTTCTTCCTACAGAGTTAGAAATCAATTTCTTCAGATTATAAGAACTTCAAGTCAAAGCCAGTGATAAGAACTTCATAAACACCCTTTTCTACTTAGGACAGCAAAAGTGTTAACAAAGGATTTCAAGAAAGTTGAAAGGTGTATGGAAAAAAAATTACTAGCAAATAGCAATTGAGAAGATTATTTTCTAAAAACAACAACAAAAGGCATCTTAGAAGAGATTATTATAGTTCTAAATATGATTTTCTACTGATGATGAGTGGGGATTGGGCTGACTCACCTTACTCAGGATGTCTTCTCCTTGTGCACACACATTTTGCACCTGAGTCTCATGGACAGCAAAGTCATTATCCAAAGCTTCATGCTTCTTTAGCAAGTTCTGCATAAAAGTGTTGGTGAGAATCAGAACATCTGAATGGGAAGTCTGTATCAACTGACTTTCAGGCTCAAGGTAATGCTAATCTCTAGGTGCCATCCAACTAAATTGATAGACTGACTACTAAATCATGATTTAGTACTGATTCCTTTGGGAATAATGCTACTAAATTCCTTTCTCCAAACTCTTCACTGGACAAAGAGGACAATCTTAGTAGAAGAAAGGAGTCAAAGGAATAAACACAATACGGTTTCTATCTTGTTATGTGATCTCAAACTTCTTCTTATGTTTTGACATGAGGGTGTTAAGGTGAAGAAAAGATAAAAGAATCTTTTTTTGACTATTTTGGTTGAATTAATCAACGAGGCCATTTGATCCTGGGCTTTTCCTTGCTGGGGGGAGTTTCAATTTCTGATTCAGTCTCCACACTAGTTATAGGTCTATTCAGAGTTCCTATTTGTTCGTGATTTAGTCATGGTATGTTGTACATTTTTAAGAATTTATCCATTTCTGGTCTCCTTATTGAGATTTCTATAATCTTATAAAACACTGTATCTAGCATTAAAGTATTAAGTATCAAACACACCCTAACCTAACAACTAGGCATAAATAAGGGGTAAGGAGAATACAGAGCTGTTTTGAATATCACTCCAAATCTCGTTTCTGACTCTTCTCTGGAAACATGACATCTGTGCAGCTGGCAGAACACAAAGGAAGTGAAGATGAAGCAGGAAGAGAGGGATTTGTCTGTCTTCTGTTGTATCTTCCCGAGAAATATCTACACTAGTCCTTGTCACCACTACCACTCACATCTCACTGTTCCCCCTTTTGTCATAGGATGACCCATCAAGATTTTCCCTACACAACACAGTGGCTCAGACTAAAGGAAGAAATAGGATTCATAAAAATATTTTATGTTTTGAGAATAAAATAATTTTCTATCCATGATGGTCTGAGGCCGCCTTAAAATAAGATGGTTACCCATTTTAAAAACAGATGGGCCATATTACATTTTATGAATGTATTATATCTCATCTTTTTACACAAACTATAAATGGAAACTGGAAAGATGATCCGCTTTGCAAGAGTGAATACCTGAATCAACCATATTTTTATGTACGTATACTGCATGAATATGGTCCCTTTAATATCTTTATTTTCTATTTCCAAATAATATATTCAGGACAGACATGAGTACGGATGCCAAAGAAATGAAAAGGGATCATAAGAAACTGCTATGAACATTATATTCCATAAAAAGAAGAAATGGATAAATTCTATTTTTTTCTCTTTGAGACAGGGTCTCAAGTTGTCACCTTGGGTAGAGTGCTGTTGTATCATAGCTCACAGCAACCTCCAACTCAGGCTTGAGCAATTATCTTGCCTCAGTTTTTCTATATTTAGTAGAGATAGGGTCTTACTTTTTTTGCTCAGGCTGGTCTTGAACCAGTGAACTCAAGCTATCCACCCACGTTGGCCTCCCAGAGTGCTAGGATTATAGATGTGAGCCACTGTGCCCAGCCCAGAAATGGATAAATTCTTAAAAATGTACACCATAACATGACTAAATCATGAAGAAATAGAAACTCCAAACATACCTATAACTAGTATGGAGATTGAATCAGAAATTGAAAAACCCCTCAACAAAGAAAAGTCCAGGATCAAATGGTCTCATTGATTAATTCAACCAAACCTTTAAACAAATGCCAGTCCCTCTCAAACTCTTTCAAAATATTGAAGAGGAAGAAACATTTCAAAATACCATTTAGAAGGCCAACATCACCCTGATATAAGACAAAGACACCTTATGTCATTACATAAAAGAAAATTAATCACCACAAAAAGTTCTTGGTGAATTCCAAGTTCACTAAGTACAGTTCAAGGTGGTAAGAACATTAATGTTTTATAATCTCTCTCTTAAAAGATGTCAATATCCATACTGACTCAAGATCACATTGAGAACTTTTTCTTTTCTTTATTGGAAAACCCAATCCTACATTTAAAAGGGTATCTATAAATGGTAGAGCTAGTCTGTCTTGAAGGCTCTTTTCCTAACATTATATTTTGTAGAAACTGCAGCCAATGTTTAGACAAAAAGTTTTCTGAATCAAAATACAATCAGGCTTTTAGGGAATCTTTAGGAAACCTATAATCTATAAGTAAAGTCCTTTACCCATAATGTCTTTGACTCACAGATCACAGATCATGGCCTTCAGATTGAGTTCTGCCTTCAAGGCTGATTGGTTCCATGATTTTGCACAAGTCACTTAGGTCTTTGGACCTTAATGTTTCCTATTTGAAACTGGCAGAATTATCAATATTTCCCTTATCTCCTCCCACCAGAAGACAGGTTTTAATTTTACAGGTAAAAAACACTGACTTATGGAAAGATACAGATTGAAGACAAGAAAATTGATTGTGTCTTCCTGTTCCTCACCTGCGTAGCAGCCAATGTGTCTCCAGAATCTCCTCGGGCAACCATAGCTTCCATTTCACTGATCCAAGCTTCCTCTTCCTCAGCATTCTGCATGAATTGCAAGTATTCCAGGGACTCTTCCAACCGAAGCCCTCTAGAATAGGGTAGTAAACCCCAGTAAGGAAAAGAAGGAATGGGTCAGCAGTGGGAATATGGTGGCATGACACAATCTCATCAGAGCAGACTGGCTTCTTCTCACCAGGCAGCCACAGTTGAACTGGGCCTGAGCTCAGTCTGGGATGTGCCCACTGGTCAGCAGTGCCTATCTCCTGCAGGATGGAGGGGACTCCTGCCCTATGAGTTCATTGTATAGCATCATCTGCTCTCTAGGAAGAGAACCCTGGCCAAGCAAAAGGAAATGATGAGGCTTCAGAGGTAGAAGGCGTCAGTGTCTCTTTGAACTTTGAGTGGTGCTTTCTTTCTTATGAGATGAAGGTCCCATAAAGTGTCACTAGATCCCTTTCATTCCTTAGCAAGAAATGTCTTCTTACTGGCAACAGGCCTGGGATTACAAACAGAAATTTTTACAGTTGGACATATGACTACTATATGGTTCATATCTGCTACAGGACTGTGAGGGGGAAAAATTGTTCCTTCTTTCTTTCATTAATAAGGATTTCAAATTATGCTAAAACTGAGGAGATGCAGTAAAACACATGTGACTAATGATCCAGCATGAAGGCCAACACACATAGGGAAAGACTGATGAGAGACACCTGCAATAAATGCAGAGGGAGAGGTTATGTTCAGAACAGAGGCAGCGATCACTCTGCTTGAAGTGGCTGGGGGAAAGGTGCATGGAAGACCTGGAATTTGAGGAAGGACTTAAGAGACAGGTGGTTGGGGAGAGCAGGCGATGACAAGTAGGCACTTAGATTTCTCCCAACACCAGCCTAGTACCTGGAATCCAGCAAGAGAATTGGGCCTTCGAGTCCCACTCACCGAGCCTTGGCCAACTCTTTGAGTTTCTCCCAGTGTTGGACAAACTGCGCCAGTCGCTCCTCAATCTCCCCTTGTCCCACAGCACCCTTGTCTTCCAGCCTCTCTGCCATATTCAGCACATTCTGAAAAACACATGGCATCCATGTGATGTCACCTCACAGTTTCCCTCATTTAGCCATAGTCCTCTGACAAAGCAACTAGATTTTTCAACCCTTGAGATAGTTTATCAACTCCATGAGATTTAAGAAGGTCCTGAAAATCCTGGGAGAATGAAGAAAGCTGCAGCAAGATCTATGGTGCTAAACTTTCTCAAGTATTTTGGCAAATATCTCAGCTCTTGCTCTAGGCTCCTCTCCGTAACCTGCTTTGGATCATTCGTGACCAAAGAGTGATCCTGTTGCTAAGTCAGACCCAGGGTTGTCTTCTTCACATATGGCTCATGTGCAGCTTGACAGGTGTCCCAATCTGCATCCCAATTGTCAACAAATTCCCAGGGGTGCTCAAAGTTCTCTTTCCAGGGAAGATTGGGTTCAGAGACAAAATTGATCAGACACAAAATGCAGAAAAGAAAAGAACACTTGAGAACCCCATGACTAATTGTCACTTTGGCACCCTAATTTTTCATCTTGCAATGCCCTCCTATTTATGTGTAACTGAAGGGACCATATTAGATTATTTCTCTCTTTTCAGGTCCAGTAATACTATTCTTACCTGGATGGCAGGCTCATGTGCCACCAGCTCCCCCTCTAGGCGTCTGTGCTTCTTCAGTAAGTTCTGAACACTCTGAAGATCCCTCCCATAGTCCTGGGAGTTCACTTGTAACAACTTCTCTCTGGGGCCAGGAAAGGAAACATAAACTTTGGAGTGTGGACACACTAAATCCATAGCAAGAGTGTATGTGTGGCTGGGGCTGATAAATTCCAGAACATGCTGGTGTCAATAACAAAAAGATAATCAGTGGCATTCAAAAAAAACTTGTAACTTATGCCAATACAAATTAAAGCAATTTGCTGATCTCCACCCCCTTAGTAGCTGTGACAGCCATGCCATTAGTCCCATTGCCTGTCTACTCATGTATCTCTTCTTAGTTTGCTCAATGATATGCCCTAATCCTGAAATTTATTTTTTTGAGATTGAGTCTGACTATGTTGCCTTTGGTAGAGTGCCATGGCATCACAGCTCACAGTAGCCTCAAACTCGGAGGCTTAAGCAATTCTCTTGCTTCAGCCTCCCAAGTAGCTGGGACTATAGGCACCCACTACAATGCTCAGCTATTTTATTGCTCTTGTTGTTGTAGTTTTCAAAAAAAAGAAAAAAGAAAAAAATATGCACTAATCTGTCTCTTTTCAAAAAAATGTGAAAATTGTATATAACCTCCCTGGCTTTTATTATTTCTGTCTGCTAATATCAGTAATAAATTTAGCTAGAGTAGGGTTTACAGAGATATGACAGAAGTCATGGCAGCTGGGATGGTTCCAACTGTAAAATCTAAAATCTTTGAACATCACCATGAAGCACAAAGACCACATAGACAAACTTATTTTCTTATGGCTTCTAAAAATGCTTTTTAAATGTTCTATGCATTGCCCTGTGCTTTCCTCTAATTCATTGATTATTCATTAGAATCAGCAGATTTGTAGAAGAGACACATAATGAAGCAGGCTAAATGGGAAACATGCAAAATAATTTGATTTTCTAAGATTTTCCCAACCTTAATTTTTATATAGCAAAACTAGATTAGTAAAGAAATGATGGCAGATATTGTGTAACATTCTTTGTATGGTGTTTTATTCAGTGTCACTTAGGATACATATAAACAGAATAGTGACAGTGAGCTGGTCAGCTGGGCAGGCTGCAAATGCCCAGTTGTCCCTGTGAGCATGATACAGTAGCACAAACATATATGGATTCTTAGTTTTGTTCCCAGCTATACATAAACTGGTCCCCACCCTCTCCACACATGTGTCTCTCTGCCTGGATCCAGTAAAGGAATTTGGGAGAAATAAAATCAGTATTAATTTTAGAGCAAGGAAACATGAAGAAGTCATACCAATGTCATAAAACAATTGCATATTTCATTTCACTATAAATTGGAACAAGTGTGGTAGATTAACCACGCTCTGGATTATCCCCACATTGTGAGTTGGTGGCACATACTCTATCCAGGATTCCTCATCGTCTAGATCCTGGAAGAACTGAAACAAGGCATAGGTCTCTTTCAGCTTCTTGTGGTGTGCAGCTGCCAAGTTCTGGACATCCTGGAAGCGCTTATTAACATCGTCCATCTTCTGCTCAATCTGTTCAACATTGAAGGTTCCGCTTGAGAGAAGATCCATAGCCAACTTATTCAGGTCCTTGAGTGCATCCTAGAAAGACCAGTGTGCTCAGTGAACAGTCTAGTACAGGTGTCACACCAATCCCAGACTTCAGCTACTACTGGATGGCCAGTTATGGTTCAGAGACTGGGTCAAATAAATTGCTTTTGAGGATAGTGAATTTAAATGCATTGTAAATATAGTAGTGCATGTTCAGGTTGGGCAAGGGCTAGAAGACAGAACTATAGAGACAGCAAGACATTACTCCAACTGTACAATTATCCATGTGTCCTACATCTCTTTCTGATGTTTTTCACATTTGCCTTCTGTCCTCAATGAGAAAATAAGATGGTGACAAGTAATTGCTTGTCCCATATATGACTGTCTTCCTACTCAGTTCTGAATTTAAGTCACAGACTGATTGGTTGATTTAATGAAATACTCATCATGAATGACTCTATTGCTAATATCTTCTGGGCACAAAACACCCAGACTCATGTGTCTATTCCCAGTTGATGCCATACCCCTAGTTATGTTGCAGGAAATATTGCTAAGTCCTAAAGACTTGGACCTAGCAAGACCGTGCATATACACACTGCCAAATGAAACTAGTAATATAAAATTCACCTGTATGAAATTGATACCTGCCATAATTTTCATCACTGGTCCCAGGACAGAGTTTTTGTTGATACACGTGTTAGAAGGCAACTGGAATCCTCCACAGGGTTTCCAGAGTGTATATGCAGGTCAATTGAATTTCACAGGCCCCCACCAGATGTTCTGTTTTCTTTCTAATTCTGTAATGTAAACTTTCCCTTTTTTCAATGTCCAGATGAAATGTAGCTTTGGAAGATAATGAGTTTATATCCATGTACCAGTCAGAAGGTAAATAAGATGGCTTTTAGGATCCACTTCCTGGAGTCTTAGAGTCTATAGTTTAGTGACTGTTGAATAAAACTGACTGTTATACAGGCTCTGTAGCCCATGGATTTAACCTGATTAAAATGACCACTACTTGAGACACTAAGGTCGCTTTCGTAAGGCTATGTTTTCAAACACTCTTCTAAGACAGGATAGAGAAAAGCCAGAAACATTTCCATTCTGCCGAGGTGTGTGATTGTAGTACATTTACCTCTCGAGCCAACATCTCTGTTTCCAATAGCTGATGCTTTTTGAGCAGGTTTCCTGCTGAAGCCAAGTCCCTGGCCTGATCTTTCATGGCCAGCAGAGTCTCTGCCTAGGAATGGAGAAACAAGCAATAAAGCTTCCAGGTGAACTGTTTTTAAGGAGAAAAAGATTAGCAGCTATGTCTTCAAACTTTTCCTGAGAAAGTTCAAGGAAATTGTTCATGTATAAATTCATTTATCTTACAGGTATTTATGAAAATTTCTTGCCCCTCACTACTTCAAGGTGTAATTACCTCTGAGAGCCAGAACTCAAAGTCCCGGATGCCTGTGTTGAACCTCTGTTGGCGACTAGCCTCATTGAGCTTCTGCCCTTTGTCAGTTGTTCTCTCAAGCAGGTGTTCCCAATGTTTGTTTAACTCATCCAGTTGCACCTAACCCAAAGAAAGTGAGGGATCATTAGGAGTCTTTAAGTCCGTGGGCCCTGGGACTACTTGAGAGGATAATGTAGGAAGCTTCTGGATGTAGGGATTAGCCAAAATCATGAACATCACGCATTTCAAACCAGCTATACTTTATCTGGGAGAACATCAGGGGTTACTGGATGAAAGGAAAAGTTTGAATAAAGGGTCTTGGGCTGATTACAGCAAATGATTTCCAAGTACCAAGACTCTCAGAAGAGAGGATATAAAATATAAAACAACTATGATACGCATATGGATTAAGTCTAAAGTTTTCTTGGAGTTCCAGGTACTGAGCACAATGGCAGGAATAAAACCTAAGCATCACTGCTTTCTTCCTTCCTTGTGCAATAATCAGATGGAAAACTACCGACCATGGAACACAGTCTGTATAGCTATCCATGTAATATTGAATGAGTGAAAGATCTCTCTTCATATGCCTTTGTAGTCCCAAACTCATCCCAAGCAGGAGCCTGACCTTTACGGTCTCTTCATTGCCATCGCACGCCCTCCGCTCAATCAGGGAGTTCCCCAGGCGGATGACTCCTTCCACCTGCTCAGCTCGGCCATTGACCTCATTTTCAAAGGCCTGGTGTTTCAGGTATTTCCTCTGAAAGGAGAGCAGAAACTAAATTACTCTCTTATTTAGGGGAATAAGATAAAGAAAATCACGTTTGAAAGAAAGGCTTAATATTTCTCTCTTCACCCAGGTTGTGATGATATCTGAAGAACCTGCTTCACATTAGATTCAGAAGTCCCAAGGACGGTGCCTCAACAGTGAGATGGTGTTAAAATGTAAAGGGGGATGACGATTCAACCAACAATTTGCAAAGGGTGAAAGTTTTCAAGATTCTCTTTTGAACTTGCCTGAATGTTAGTGGGGTCTTTGTAGGATTCATCACAGGCTGTGGGCAACATCTCACTGATCCATTCCTCTAGCTCCTCGAGGTCACGGTAGAATTGCTTTAGGTCAGCATAGTCTCCCAGCTTTGTTCGCTCAGAAACCAGTAGTGCTTTGAGAGCCCTCCACCTGGAGGCGGGAGCGAGATCATTCTCTGCCCTCTACCCTTTCTCCACCTGCTGATGGCACATCCATAAATCTTCCCAGCTGCCCCTTTCCCTCTGACATAGTTTTATTGTTTTCAGGCATAAAATGCTGTGGTTAAGCCAGGAAATTTCCAAGGTTTTCATTTTATAAATCTAGGTTAGAAAGGTTCCAGAAGTGTCAAGATAGTTTTAGGCATCTAGAAAAGACACAAACTCGGAGTATCCCCTCATCTCAATGACAGGAAATGGGTCATTTTGCTGCATCTTCTATTACTCATAAAGCAAGCGGCCTGGCCTGACCTGTTTAGCACACGTTGGAGCCGAGCAGCAATCTCCTCCTTGGCATAATGGTCATCGGCTATGAGCCGCTCAGCAAAATGTTCCAGTTCAGTGATCTTCTCTTCCTAAATAAAGGAAAAGGAAAGAACTCAGAAGCCTAAAGATTGGGCTTTGGTGCAAACTCAGACTCCCTCCTAGGAAAGAATAGAGATATCGTTTGTAGATTCAGGGGACAAACCTAGGAACAGAGTGCAAATGCTGCACAGGGAGGTAGATTTCAGTTCAGTAAGAGGATAAACATCTAGTAAGTATAGTGGGAAGAGCTACATGGGTCCTGAGTTCCCTAAAGAACAGACACTTCCCAAGACCCTTGGAGAGGGTGAATTCTGCATTGAGTTGGTTGTTGAAATAGACAGTAGATGAAGTCACTTTTAATTCTACAGGTTAGGTTTGAGAGTGCTGGACTTAAAGTAAGAAAGTCCAATGGCCACATGTGACTTGGGTAAGACACTGTCAAACGTTCAGCCTCCCTACCTGCTCAGGGTTTTCTGTGAGAGGCAAATATAAATCAGAATACTTCCAAATCGTAACACCAGACAAATGTGTAGGATTTCTGGTATTATTAGAAGAGCTTTTAATAGAATCTTTACATTATTAAATATTACCTGAGAGGTGATTGCTTTGTCTAGGTCATCACGTTTCTTCATCAAGGCCTCCAGACTGTCCAAGGAACCCTTGTCATCTGACCTCAGGAAATTCTCACGTGCCACCATCCAGCTCTCAACCTGATCACACTTCCCTTGGAACAACTGTGGGGAATTAAATTAGAGGCATATGGTATATTAATTCCAAGGGGGCAGAAGAAATACTCTTACCCCTTGCCCATGACAGTGACAAAAAGGGAACTACAGGCAATGTTCACCATCTTCTAAGAAACACTTACTTGAGGAATGTTAGCTATCCTGAAACTTTTACTCTTACCTGAACATACACTTTATGCTCACATATAAACTATTGTCAGCTCTTGGTGTACCCATTCTTGTTTCCTACACCTGGTGAACAGGGGCTGATTATTTAACACTCTCTTAAAAATTATCCTTCAGGGTAGCCTATGACATCCCCCTCTTTCCTCTCAGAAGCTTTCATGACTTCTTCCGGTTTAGCATAAAAAATCCATATGTTTGTTTCATTGATAATTATCTCACTGTACTAGAAAGATTTATCTGTATGTCTAAGTTTACTACTTAACAAAAGAGACTCTATCTTTGTGGCCTCAGGGCCTTTATATGGTAGGTTCTCCATAAAAATCAGTAAATAAATGAAAATCACCCCACTGCACACCCAGGACTGTGTACTCTCTTGTTTAGCTTCTCTAACAGGAATAAGAGCTGAGAACGTAACAACAGTAAGTCCACAAAACAAGACTACAATGCCGGATAATCAAGAGATGCCCTTGCATTTGCAAGTGAACAATCTAGTGAATCCGTAATGACCATGTACAGTTTCACAGAAAGAATAGACCGAGGCTAAATACACTGACAAATGGAAGTTTGCGGCACCTGCAGCTCCAGACACTGGTCTAGCATCTTCTTGCGTTGTCCCCACGCCTTCTCCAAGTCATCCCTCTCTATTCTCACAGCTTGAAGAGTTTTTTCAATTTCAGGGCTAGCGTGATGCCCACTGTCTATAAGTTTTGCACCAAAGTCTTCTAAGGCCTGGAAGGTGGGAGCCTCTGCCTCTATGTCAGCTCGATGCTCCTGTGGGAAAAGGGGGGAAGAGACCGATGAGGTTAATTCCCCTGAAAGTTTTAAAATGCAGAGAGGTTTTAAGTCAAGTGATCCATGGCTGTGGCTTCTCAGCCATACCTGGTGCCTCTCCAGCAAGATCTCTGTGCCAGTTAAGTCTTCAGCCAGTTCCTGTGATGACACCATGCCACCAATGCCACTGATCCAATTTTGTAGGTCCCTACAGAAACAGGCATATTGGAATTGGCAAGACCAAAACAAACAAACAAAGAAACAAACAAACCCAAAGAAAACAAAAACCTTGCAACTTGCTATGAGGTCTGTATGTCTTGCAACTTTATTCTCTCTAAAAACATTTCCAGAATGGGGTCTTTTATCCAGCTTTGCAGGTTTGCAGTTTTATCATGTCATTTAATGATAACAATCCCTTGCACTTGAAAATCTCATCTCTATTATCTCTTTTGATTCCTGCAGTAAAGCACTTCTGCTGTCATTTGGCGATAAGGGAGTCAGCCTAGGGAAGGTGAGGGATTTGACCTGTGATAGAGCTAAAAACCAACATCTGGATTAGAATCCAGATCTCTGGTTCCTTGGACTGGTATATATTCCATTAGCACTCCTGATTACTGTTCCTTTTAAGTGGTTCTGGGAATTAAACACATATTCGCTATGGAAACTCAGGGAATAACTTGCCTATTTTATTACATCAACTATATATTTAGTTAAAAGCATATATGATGCTTAAATTAAGCATCTCATATAGAATCTACTTACTATTGTCCACTCAACAGAAATCCTTAACTGTAAGGAAGCTAGATCTCTTTCAAGAAATCATTTATTGATTCATTTATTCAAGCAACTAAGTTTTATTTGGTGCTTCCTACGTATTAAACACTGTGAAAAAGACATATCTGTGCCTTTTAGGATGTCACAATTTAGGTTGAAAGAAAAACACAGAAAAGTACATAGGTAATAATACCTACTTAAAAAATGAAAGCAAAAGTATCATAAAGAGGTAAAGTACATATTAGTGTTGCTCAGAGGCTGGAAACATGACTTCTGCGGTATTGAAGGAATGGAAGGAGAAACATTTAGTTCAGAATCATACACATGAAAATATACAATTTTGCAGAATGTGTATGGGTGCCATTTATTAATGGTATATGAAATATAATAGTTTTCCAGAGCTGTAGAACATTTTCTTTCAAAAACATTGCATTATGATATATACTTCCTATACTCCCAACTCTACTGCTTCCTCAGCAGACTGTAGAAATTGTTCCACAAAGTATATATTTGCAAGAAGAATTCTGGATTGTGATAATGCCTAGAGTCCTGCAAGACATTGAAAATTCTGTAGAATTTGGTACCAACATTTCTAAGCTTATCTTTCTACTTCTCCTTTCCCTGCCTTCCAACATAGCAAACCCATGCTCTGGCTGCCCACACTTCCTGAACATTCTGTACCTTTCTGAGCCCCGTGCCTTGGTTTGAACAGTTCTATTGGTATGAGTCATTTTTGCTTCTGTTAAAATCCGGACTTATCAGGTGCAGTGAAATGTTACCTCATCTACGATGCATCATCTGGATTCCCACTGTTGTCTGTTGGGATGCGTGTTTTCGTCCTCACTATGTTCTACCACAGTTACTTATATTCTACTCTGCTTCTTTGGTAGAACAAAAACCTTAATACCCCACAACATAACGCCCTAAATATAGTATATACCTTTACAGAAGCTTGCTTAATTGGTCTAGATGGCCCCACAATCCTTCTAATTTCAATATTTTATGGCTTGAAGTATTAAATCTAAAATTTTTGTGCCTAACCAGAATAAGCCTTGGACACGGTGGTGCCCTCCCACCTAGCAGTGAACAGCACCTGTACCAACACTTATAGAAGCTCTCTTCAGGGGCCAAACATGACAATTACCCACCCCATCTGGTGGAAGTCTTCCTGTTGAGGCTCACCTGGCCTTGCTGAGGAATAGGTAGAATTTTTGGGCCTCATTCAGGCCTTCTTTACGTTCCTGTGTACGTCCTTGCAGGTCATCCCATGCCTCATTCAGCCCGAGTCGCTGTCTCTGTAGGTCTTCAGTGGCATCTGGATGGGATTCACTGAGACGCTCTGCTGTCTCCCCCAGGATGGTCACCTGCGAGGTTAAAGAGCTCTGAAAATTAGCCTAGAGTTGCACTTGAGTCTCAGCAAAGGAAGAATCCTGAGTCCTGATATTCATCTCCCAAAATGGACAACCATGATGTATGTGCTTTACTACTATATAAAATAATACCAACATTTAGTCTACATGATAACTTGCTGAAGTAGTCAAAATTGACTTTACCATACTTCTTTCCAAGATAAAAAGATTGTGGGAAAGAGAGGATCAATGACTCTCTGGTTAGTGGTAACATGTATTAGGGTATCCAAGGTCCTGATTATTCATGTGAAGATCTTTCTAATATGGATATCATCTGTGCTTCTTTTCACTCTGTATGAAAATATCAACCTGTATAATGCTTCTGTGTGCATCTGGCAAGTTATAGAGTTCACTTTTGGGTGGGGGTAGGGTTAAACTTATTCAATTTCTGATTGAGAACACATTGTACCATGCTCAGCAGAGGCCTGACCATCCTGAGTGTGGCCATTTTCTATATCTCCTGGACTATAACTAGCTGCCACAAGTTCTAGTCACTTGGAACCCATTAGTGAGGCAAGAGACACAAGGTACTCACTCAGATAGTTGACATGTTTTTCCCCCTGATAAAGATCATGGGTCATGTCCTCTTAGAAGTCTTGCCTTAGGGACAGCTATAAGAATAAGTATAGTGCAAGATAGAGAATATAAGAGTATGGGATCGGGAAATGGAACCAATGAAGAGAAACAGTTGAAAAAGCTTAGAGGCACATCTCACCTTTTCCCCAAGGGGTATAAGGTCTCTCTCAAAGACCTCATGCTGTCGCTGAAGGGCCTGAACACTGAACAGATCTGAGCCAGGGTCTGCAGCATTGAGAGCCTGACACTTCTTCTCAATCTGCTCCTTTGTGTCATCTGCTTCTCTGGTACACACAAGAATAAAAAGTTTAAGAGTTAGGATGTATATCAAAGTCAAACTAGCAGGGCTCACGAGAATGTCACTACCATCACCACCACCATGACCATCACCATCACTACTACCGCCATTACATCACCACCATTATCATCACATCCTTTATAATGTACTATACACTTAAGTTCATTTAGTTTTCACAACTCCTAGAGATATAATTACTATGATCATTCCCATGATATATATCAGGCAACTGAGGCCTAAAATGGTATTTCCTCACCATTACACCACTGCTAAATGGTGGAACCCAAGTTTGAACCAGGTGTTGTAACTGCAGAACCACACATAATTTATAGCTTTCCATCTTAGGGTACACTAAGCACAGATGATATCTACACTGAATAGGCAGACCCATCTGTGTCTCGGTTTTTCTTCCCTGCATCTTTACAAATACATTTATACATGGTGAAGGTGTTTGGTTTTTGTTTTGTCAGTTTGTATGTTTGAGTGTATTTCTTATTGTCAGCAGAGGATTGAAAATCAAACAAAGTAATGTTGAATGAGCAATTAAATTCAGTGTGATGTCTCTTGCCCTCTATTGTCCGCTTATAATTCAGAAATGTAATTATTCAAATTTCTTGTTTCTACTTTAAGTTTCTTTCACTATCATGGAAATAGACAGACTACTAATAATGTGCCAAGACCCAAGCCAAGGCATTAGAAAATCGACGCTGGCTGTCTGGGAGTATCTTGTGTGCCGAGTGGGAAATCTACTACCGAAAAACCTCACCTCCTATTGGGCAATCATCTCTCTCTCAGGAAGGAGGGTTACCCAAATATCTCTGATTCTACCACAGTAACTAGACTTTGGGGTGCTGTTACTTAGCTCTAGAGCAGTACAAAGTTTTAGGATGAAACTCTTACCTGTGAAACATCTGGACAGCATGGGCACTGCCTAGTAGCTGCCGCTGCTCATCTGCAAGCTGTTGCAAGGAGCCCCAGCGGACATTCAGCTCCTGAAAGAGGTGGACATATCAGACTGGAGGCAGAGAACTAAGTCAGATACCTCAGTGGTGTCTGAAGACTGGATGGGGTCTAAATCATGCTCGTTCTTATGTTATCGTCTTCAGAAATTACATAGCTTTACTTCTTTCTTGCAAAGCTTGTGTTTGTGGCTTATTTTTCCTAGGGCAGCAGGCTGAGAAAGGGATCTCTCCCCAAATCCAGGTAGAACTATCAGTCCTAGAGCAGTAAATCAATACCTGTTACCAGAGTCTACATTACAAACTCAGAAAAATGATTGAGAAGTGTTACCTCAGCAGTTAAAAGCTATCACATTTCTCTAAGACAACCATGATACCTTTTTGGGACCTGAACTGAATATACCTAATGGCCTAGTACAGCCCTACTTTTTATAGGGGGTAAGTACATTGTTCCCCTGTACATTCCTTCCCCTTCTTATCTCATAACTAATACAAAGAGAAGCAGAAAACTGGTTCATGACAACTCAGAGAGCTAGACTGGATATTCACGAATGTTCATTAGGTCTTTTATCGAGCCATATGTCCAGATCTACATCAGGTCAAAAATGTCCCGTGCCCTGTCTCTGCTGACCTACATTCTTGTCCTTCTTCAGCATGTTTATCAGAATTTATCCGTTTTGTAAACTTTCCTAATTAACTTCCTCCCACTAATAAGCTCATTTATGTGCATTTTCTTTGCATTCCTGTATTTGAGAATTGCTTGTGTGTGTGGCAGTGAGGGAGAAAGTGAGTATTTATTATAGTTTAAAGATCTTAGGTCAGTTTAAATAATTTCAATTCAAAAGTTATATTTTGGGGTAGAGGTGGAAGGCAAGAACTTAACGTTCAATTTCATAAAGCCTAGTACAGAAAATTAAAAGGAAAGTTGGAGATTATGCTATCCAATACTCTTGCTTTTTGGATAAGGAAACTGAGATCCTTTGAAATGAAGTGACTTGCCCAAGGATACAGCTGGGCAAGGATAGAGCCAGCACTTAAACCCGGTTTTCTTGATGTGCAGTGCCATATTCTCTAATCTTCCTAATACTGCCTCTTGAAGGTAAATAAGATTTTCTGATCTCAATGCTTTTGTTTCCCTCTATCTGCTCTACAAAAAATACTTATGTGAGAACACAGAAGACACTCAAAAAATGTTAATAAGTAAATGTGGTATAAGTTCATTTAAAAACGGATATGCTATTTGGACTATTGTCTTTGGCCTTTCCTGTATTCAGTACCAACCTGCCATTACATTGTGTAGGTCTTAGTTAATCTACAGAATATAAAGTTGAGTTAATTAAAGAGAAATAAGAACTCCCAGAGCCCAACTTCGTGGTGAGGAGGATTGGAGGGAACCCTAGGTACCTGCCGGATTTGCGCTCCTTCTGGTGTTAGAAGATCTTCAAACAGTAGATCATCAGCTACCTTGTTGATATCCCTTAGCCGAGGCTCATTGGTCTTCAGATCCTGGATGGGAAAATTTGTGCAAAGCAACATAAAATTTCTTCTCAAGGATCTACCACACTTACTGGCCCATCTCTGCCACTCCTTGGCTAAATATTAAAACATGTTATTAACTTCACTTGTCATGCACACCAAGCCTCCCTTCAGCAAACTGCCACTGAGAAGACTACCCTTAAACACCCTGATGTCTAGTGGCTACCCAAAACTTGCCAGAAGAACTATTACATATCTATGAAGCATGTCCATTTTCCTAGATTTCCTAAAATCTCCCCTGCATTAAGTCACACCATCAGAGTGATCTTCACCTGAGCTGTATAATATTCTCTTCCATCACTACAAAATCCTCCCCCTTCATAGAATGGCATTAACTGAGTTACCATCTGCCTATGTTAACAGATGTTGTAAGAAACAGCTCTAGGGAGTTCTCCCCACCACACACATACAGAGAAAGAGAAAATTCCATATTGTAAGAGAAAGAAAGGAAGGAGGGAGTGTGCACTCATTGCTAGATCAGATACTGGGCTAAATCTGAGAGAAGAAAGGACAATGAAAAGGCTTTAGGAAAGCAAAACCTCAGAAATTGCCTGGCAATAAAGTCAGATGTTCTTCCTTTTCTGCCCCAACCTCTTCCCATAACATGTCATCTCAAGGTGGGCATCAGGAACACAGCATGGTGTGGGGCAAATTTTGAAGAATTCAAGGAGATGGGATTTTGGAGTGGCAGGGCCTATAGGCTGCACAGGTAGGGTAACTAGTTTTCTTTGCATTTTACTTCCAGTTGTTGGCAAGTGCAATACTCAGAGCTATAGGGCTCTCAGTAGTTTTGGGGAGGATATTTAACAAATGAGAAATAAATTAAAGGTTTATATAGAAAGAAATAAGAGATAAAAGGAAACAATGACAACCCTTAATAAGGTGTCAGGAGAAGGTTTCTCGTCCTCACCGTTTGGAACTCATCAAACTTTTTCTGCAGCTCCCAGACGTCATCCAGCTCCACACCAGTGTTTTCTGCCTTTTTCTCTCGAATCCAATCCAACATGTCTCCGGCCTCATAGGCCAGCAAAAATTCATTGTAACGTTGCAGCAGACGCCGTCTGCGTTCTTCCGCCCTATCCAGCAAGGAGCGGTACCTGGTTGAAGAAGTCAAGAGAATGGGAAAAGTGGAACAAAAGATGAAAAAAAACCCAACAAAACAGAAGAGCAGAGATAGGATGAGAAAAAAATAAAGAATAAAAGAGACAAAAGGAGAAAGAGGAAATATCAAAAAAAGATCAGTAAAGGAGAGAAGGAAACAGGATAGAAGGAGAAGGGCCTTGGGAGCTGAGAGGAGCGTGTAGTCTTGCATTTAAAAATAACAAAGTTATCAATGACCCAACAGTATGGATGGTGGCATCACATTTTATAAACGTAACATTTTTACACAACAGGTGACAAGTGGGTATGAAACAGCCTGGTATAATAAACTAAGTTCACACATAAGTCAGGAGATTAACGTGTTGATGATCATGAAAGAATGAGGCTAGGGAATCAGAATACCTGTTTCTGTAAGTGTCTGATCCCAGGCCATTGACTTACTGGTTCCAGGGCTGCCTTTCCTAAGAAAGCTCAAGTATTTAAAGGATCCTGGGTTTATTTTCAGTTCTTAACATCTGTAAATTTTCTGTGGTGTCTCTAATTTAAGAGTTAGACTCTTTAGCCAAGAGGAAACATCTGGCCAAATACCATCCAGTTCTCCAGACTCCAAAACTTACTGGCTTTCAATCTGCTCCTGGCGCTGGGTGATATTGCCTGGCTCCTCTCGCCGCCGCTGTGGGAGTGTTGGGAACTCATCGTAGGCCAGCTTCCTGACATGGTTAGCTGGGACAAAGCCCTGGTGGTCGTCAGCTTCCACCTTCCACCAGTCCTGAAGGCAGAGGAGACCCCACTGCTCCCTTACTTCTTGGAGCAAAGGAAAAGGCTTCAACACTCAAACACATACTTTGGTAGGCATAGGCACAGGCTGATGGCGGAGGGAAGCTGACAACCTCAAATGGGAGGCATGTCACCTTTATATATTATGGAGAGATTAATTGAAGAATTGCAGAGACAGGCTTCTGAAGTCAAGTACTCTGACATTCAATTTAAGACTTTTAGCTTTTTCAAACTCCAGAGATATTTCTGCTAGTGATGGGGCACACTGTTCACCAGAAATTTATAAAAAGGACATGGAGCCAGAATCCAATTCAGAGTTCTTAGGAGTAGAGCACATATGTATGACAATATTGTACAATTTTTTTTTCTAGATGTCCCCCAAACTGTGAATTGTTCTGAAATGCAGTTATGTGAGTATTGGCTATACTTTCTAACCACTCTGAAGTTAATTTCTTCAGAGAATAAAATGGTAAAGTGAAGAGGTCTAGATAAAGAGAAAAAGGGGCCCAGCATATATCTTATTTGATAATGACGTAGCTTTCCTTTCCAAAAATTCACTTACCTTTAGAGCAGTGGTTCTCAACCTTCCTAATGCTGCGACCCTTTAATACAATTCCTCATGTTGTGGTGACCCCCCCAACCATAAAATTATTATTATTTTTGTTGCCACTTCAGATGTTGCTACTTAATAACTGAAATATGTGTTTTCCGATGGTCTTAGGCAACCCCTGTGAAAGGGTCATTTGATCCCCAATGAGGTCATAACCCATAGGTTGAGAACTGCTGCTTTAGAGTAACAATATCCCAAACCTTCTTCTTTTCTTCTCAAGAATTTTTGGAGATTAATTAGGTGTCAGAGCATAAAAATTGCTTAAGTTCTCATGGAAAATATATTAAAAATGCTAACCAATATTTTATCACTGTCCTCACAGGAATAAGATGTAAAGAAAATCAAGTTGATCAGGCTTCTCCTAAACCAAGGCATAGTTGTTTCATCACTGTAAATATTTTTATAGAATTGCCCTTCATACCTTCTATACATGGGGACTAATTATTTAACTTTAATTCTTCAGATCTTTAACTGTAAAATTGGTATTATCATTCCAGTAGATATATATAGGAACTTGTACAATATTGGAGGAAAGATACTACTCCATCAGTTATAGACATTAAAAGGTGAAGTGGTAAAAGCATTGGGTGATGAAAACATGTATGTCTGGTAGGATTGGGAGAGATGGCTCAGGAAGAGCCACTTTTTGATGGAAAGAAGGTTAGAAGGAAAACGTCACCTTGCTGATGGAGCTCAGCAGAGTTAAGACATCATCTTTCTTCATGGTGACTTCCCGGGGGCTGCGGGCCTGGAAGTCATATAAGGCCAAGACCCTCTCTTCCCGAGCAGCTCCCTCCACTGGCACAGCCTGCTGTCGCTGAGCAAAAACAAGAAGCACTTGTTAGTTGTCTGCTGGAAATATCCCCCCTGCAGAGTTCACCAGTGGTGGGGAGTCCCAGAGTCTCAGGGGAGAGAGTAGCCTCTGGCTGGAATTCTTAAGTGGATGCAGAGGTTAAAATATATGGTCGTCAGAGATGCTGCTTTACTTTAGCACTTACCCAAGACAGGCAGGTTGGGAAGTATGACTCCAGAGTAAGTAAATATGTGGTTTGTCAGAAACATATGAAAGAAATGCTCTAAGCAACTACTTCTTAAAGTGGAAGGGGTAGGTAGTATGTTTCCTGGAAATAGCCCAAAAGAACCATATACATCAAAATTTCAGAAAAATTCTTGAGTAGTTGGAAGACATTATCTATCACCACTCTTCCCTTTTCTTTGGCCTCCACTGATAATTCTTCTTATCCCCCTGACCTTTAACCCTTACTCATCTTAGGAATGAGCTACAACACAGGAAAAGCCACAGAATTTTAAAAATTGAGAACATCAATTGAGGTCATTAAAGATACTTTGTCTCACTTTAGAAAGCACCCTACACTACAAGGGAGGGTTTTCTCTGATATCTACCTTCTGCAAATATAATATATCTGAAATAATGAGAAAAATATTACCTCTCCTTTTAAGCAATAGCCTCCCTTCTTCAGATTGGAGTTGAAGATGTACCTCCCTTCACATACCCCTCTGATTGCATATCCTTCAAGCACCCTGTCTCCTCCTAACTCACCAGATACACATCCACCTGTTCTTGTTGAACCACCCAGTGTGCATTGCTGAAGGAGGCATTGGGTGAGGGCTACATGAACATTTATCAACTGGCCACACAGACTCTGCGTCTTTTATTTCCTCCAAGTATGTGAATTCAGAGCCTCTCATTAGAAAGAATTACTTGAATATAAGCAGTATTATCTCTTTTATTCTTCCATTATACACAGGAAACACGTCTATATCATTTATTTGATTCCAACTTCACTGATCTTCCTTACACTCCCTTTCACCTTGTACCTGAGCCACCCTCACAGTCTTAACCAATTGCATTTTCCATTTTCCAAATGCACTTGACCATTTTATGCCTCTGTGCCTTTGCTCTCATGGCTTATTGGCTAGAAAAAAACCTTCTCTTCCTTTTATGCACAATAATCCACTCACTTTTTCTTTATTAATTGAGATAAGATAGATCACCTCAGTTATGAAAGTTTTCCTATCTTCTAGTACTCTTATTTTAGGAGAAAAGAAGATTCCTCTCCTTGAGACTCTTTTTCCCATTCACACATCTGTTATGCACAATTATTACTTGAATGTCTGGCTTTCTAATAGATTATAAGTTTTTTTTTATTCATACTTGCATACAGTAGACATTTGATAAGTATTGATACTGAAGAAAACCCCTAAGGAATGAAGAACAAGAATTAGAAAGGAAGATAAGAAGAAGAGATGCAAACAAAGAAAAATAGGAAAGAAAGAAAGAATAAAGAAGGGTAGAAGCCTGAAACCACCAAACCACCAATGAACACATGGTAACATTTATTGACAACTTCTTTTACACTAAATCATTGCACATGAGAGAACTCTATAATTTCTGCCTATAAGTACCATGGAACATAGTATTTTCTTTGCAATTGTTTTCCATTATAAGAAGTAAAAAATCAGTGATAAAGAGAATTCCTTTTCTTTTGCAGGAATGTGGTTCTTGTCATCTCTAAGTTCTTACCTGGCAGGCTTCTGCCTGATCATGTAGAGCTTCTATACTTTTTCCAAAGGCATTGAGATCCACTAGGAAGGCCTCATGCTTCTTTAGAAGATCCTAGATTTATAGATGAGAAGGTCATCAGAACAAATATAGGAACACTAAGCAAACCTGGGAGATGATCAATCAGCTATTATTATTTTGGGTTATGCTAATTGTCTTAACTCCTGGTAAGAGCCACTTTTCATCTACTATTAATTTCTTTTTAGCCTTAAATTTGTAAGACTCAAGAACATAGGTGTTAATAAATAAATAACAATATCAATGTATTTGATAAAATAAAAACTAACTCAAGTTTGCACAATCATTTTGACCAACACACATCATAGTTGGAAGGGGATGCTGCTAAAATTGCTGCTTTGCAGGACAAACATCAGCATGGCTTTAAATGTGCATTCCAATTATTTCTAGTGACAGACATGACAATGGCTTCCTATAGGACAATGAACAAAAGAAGTGGATACAAAGGGTAATTATGACCCTTTTGAGGTTCTCCTTGCCCCCAACATCTGCCTGATTTAATTTCAATAAAATAATTAAAGTGTCCATATCATAAAACTACAGGGACACGGTTGACATATCAAAGCCCAAGGTTATTCTGGGAAGTTTAGATGGGACCAAGATGAGTATACATCTCTGGTCACAACTTTTGGATGTACACAATTTCTAATGATTATAGGGATCTTTGTGGGATTAGAAAAATGTGGTGTATATTTTGGGATCCCCGTCAAATCAGAGGGAGTCTCAATAGATGGAAGTCCAAAGGTAATCACTCTGGGACCTCCAAATAATCTAGCAGAACATGTAGCTGTCCCACAACCTAAGCAAATCTCAAATGAATAATTTAGTATCATTTTGTGAAGATTCACTAGACATTGTGCATCTCCACTCCCACTTTACCCCAGCTGCCTCTTCATCAGCCCCATAGTTAGTGTTGTCCACAATAGGCTCCTTCTCTCTAATCCATGCTTCTGCTTCATGCAGGTCAGCCAGATACTGCTGGAACTGGGCATTGGCCTTGAGATCATTCTGCCGTCTAGCTGCTCGAGTGCGGAGAGACTCCATATTCTGGTTTAAACTCTTGACCCTAGAGGCCACATCTTCTGCAGCAAAGTGCTCTATGGAATAGTTATTAAAAGTTGAGTATAACCCTCATTAATGTCTACCATGTTATATAATCCTCTTACTAACCTTGGAAACAAAATGGAAGGCATGAAGATGGTACTGCATTTAGTCAATGTCACATTTTTCTTAAGTTCCCTGGGAACTGGAGTGAGATGAAGTAGCAATAGGTGGTAATGGGGGATAGACATGTATGCATGGTGGTGAATGGGTTGGTGTAGTCAAATATAGCCTGAAAACAGAATACTTATGTATGGATAATGCTCAGAGTCCCAAAACACATCTTCTATAGACTGAACAGAAAAATAAATAGATTTCCATATCTTCCTATGACATGTTTATCATTATAGGAGTAACTCTTTCACTCCAATGATGAGAAAACAGGGAGGACTAAGATGCAATGATTTTCAGACAATGAGTAGAAGATTGTGACTCTTGAGAGATAGGAAAGAAATGAGATATGTCCTATAGTTGCACAGCTTATGCCTTGGGAAGTTTCTGGGATAAGGTGCAGGGAAGGCTAACTCAAACAGAACCTACCAGTGATACTTAATTGAGGAGGCAGAGATCAGAGTTTGAGAAAGATAAGAGAAGAGAGAAGAACAGAGAGAACTTGTTATGTGGGGAACTGAGAAGGAGCATGCTGCAGAGAGATTCAAAGAGGTCTCCTAGAATATCTGACTTACTATTCATTTGCACACATGTGTAAGGAAACTCCTGGAGGAAGAGAAAAGAATGACTTGGAAGTAATAACCAAGCAATTTCTAAACAATTCCTAGGGTTCATGTAAGGTGAGGAATGCTTCAAATTCCCACTCACTAAAGTGGTGGGATATTGTATACACAGGTAGGGTCATTGGAAGGGCAACATTTTAATATTGGGCTTATCTCTAAATCGGTACCAAAAGGCTGTCCTGGAAATACCATAATAAAGCAGATCCAAAAAGCTCAACAACTGCAAAACCAAAGAAACAAAGCCACATTAAGTTATATCATAATTAAATTTCTTAAAACCAATTACAAAGAGAAATCCTTAAAAAAGAGGGAAAAAAGACACTTTGCATGCAAAGGAGCAAAGATAGTGATGGCAACAGACCTCTCATCTTTAAGGCACTGGAAAAAAGAAATTGCCCACCAAGAATTTTATATTTTTCAAAAATGAAGGTAAAATAAAGAATTTAAATGAACAAAAACCTAGAGAATTTATGAGCAGACCTGTGCTACAAAGATTGTTAAAGTTCTTCAAGTACAAGGAAAATGATACAAATGGAAATGTTAACCCATAAAAAGTTAGTGAAGAACACTAGAAATGGTAAATATGTAAGTAAATGTTTTTCCATATTTTTAAAATCCCATTCAAAGGTGATCAACTATTAAAACTATTAAACAAATACGACAACACATTGTAGAGTTTATAATATATATAAACTTAAAATGTTTGATACTAATAGCACCAAGGAACAGAAGTACATGTTTGAAGATCTTATATTGCACATGAAATAGTATGATATAATTTGAGGTTAGATTTATCTTTTAATTAGTAAAGCATTGGCTCTTAAATTTTTGCTGTCAGAATCCCTTCACAATTTTAAACATTATTGAGGACACCCCAATTGATAGTTACCATATCAGAAATCAAAACAAAAACTTTCCTAAAAAAAGAATATACAAGTATGTATTCCACTAGACATTAGAGCAATGATATTATTATACATCTGTAGTCTCTAAAAAATTCCACTATATCTGGGGAGTGCCTGTGGCTCAAAGGAGTAGGGTGCTGGCCCCATATACAGGAGGTGGTGGGTTCAAACCCTGCCCTGGCCAAAAACTGCAAAAAAAAAAAAAAAAAATTCCACTATATGCTCATAAAATAATGAATATTTTAAAAAGTCTTAGCATTATTTTGAAAATATTTTGATTTTGTGCACACACTGAAAGTGTCTTAGACACTCCAAAATGACCTGAAACTACAATGGGAAAATTGCTACACTGGAATAAATACATACACACATATCTCAAACAGAACTGTAGCTAGTAGGCTAATACAGAGATAAGATGGAAATCATATAACAAATACACAGTTGGTCTAGGAAAGACAGAAAGTGATGGGTAAAGAGAAAACAAATAGCAAGATGCTAGATTTAAAATCAGCAATATTGATAACTACACTAAGTGTAAATAGTTTAAACACTCCATTTAAAAGTAAGAGATTACCAGATTGGATAAAATAAAAGCGGGCCTAATTGTATGCTGCCTGTAAGAAATCTACTTCAAATATTTAAAAAGAAAACAAACACAAGCAAAAGGATGGAGAAATAAATACCATGCAGAAACTAATCAGAAAGATATACTAATATTACACTAAATAAACATTAGAACAAAGACTATCCCAGAAATAAAGATAATTATTTCATAATAAATATCAAAAAAGATTTAACTTAATCAAAAATAACAATCCTACATGCATATGTACATAATAGTAGAACTTTAAAATACATGAAACAAAAAAAAATTAGAATTGAAAGAAATAGACGAAATCCACAACTACAGTCAGAAATTTCAAGGAGAAAAAAAAAGTTAAACTGCTCTAGTAACACAGGAATGCTAAATATACATTTATCAGTTTGACTAACTCAGTTGAGACCTAAACTTTTGTTCAGCATATGGAATTCTAATTTACATTTTTGAAAACTGGCTGTTAATTATCTAGCAGCCATCAACAGAAGGAAATCCTGATATGCTCTGCATTGCTTATATCACCCCTGGCCTGTGATGTTCAGTTTTAAGTGTCATATTTAAGCAGTAGGGATTCCTGAATATAGAAGACTAAGATGAGAAGAGACATGGAAACTATATAAAGCGATAAATGTAAAGAAATGGCACTATTCACCATAAACACAATAAGACACTTCCAATCTAAGATCTACCTTCACAGCTCTGAAAACTTCTACCTGGGAAAGGGACCTGATCTGTTTTTACAGGGCTTTGGAACTATCCTCTGTAAATTCCACAACTTTTACAAAGAATCATATTGATGATTTAGGGTAAAACATTTTATTTCTATAATTTTGGCTTTATAAAATATAGAATACTGGCTCACAAGATTGGCAGATTCTTATTAGAATATACAAGCAAAGTTATATACACATTTATCAGAAATGCCCCAAGAGGATTATGAAGGAAAATGAATCAGTTATTTTTAAATCTTTAAACCCTAAGATTGTGCAAACTTTTTGTGTCAGAATGATTTTGGGCCAACTTGGTACGAATCATACACACCTTCCTCTACCATTTTGTTTCCCCTCTCTGTTATTGCCTGGATGCGTGGCTCATGGCTGGCAATGTCTGCCAGGATGACTTCATGCCTGTTGAGAAGATTCTTGGAGGCAATCAGGTCCTTTCCTACAGACAAAAGAAATTTCAGTGTTTGAAATTATCCTGGTGTGTGGAAGTACTGTGCCTCCATTTTTTACAACTCTTGGATCTAAAGATTCTTCCTCCAATTGTAATCATTGAGTTGGTTTAAGTTTATAATATCTGTGTTAACTTTATCCATCTTTGTTATTCCCCTTGCCTGTTTGTACTGAGAAAATTTAATTCATTATTATACAAAGAAAATGGAAAAATCACTATTTTTGTTGGAAGAACGACAGAAATGCAAGTAAATTCTTAGCTTATCCGTCTTATATTATGCAACCAATTTTCTTCTGGTACATTTTGGTATACAAGGCAGGATCCTTCACTTGTAAATTTCTACATGTTTCACAAAGTTATTAAATCCTCTAAATGTAAGGTTTTTTTCACTGTGAAAAAGGCACAATGGCTCATGCCTGTAATGCTAGCCCTCTGGGAGGCAAGTAGATTACTTGAGATCAGGAGTTCCAGCCCAGCCTGAGCAAAAACTAGACCTTGTCTTTATCTAAAAATAGACAATTTAGTGAGTCATAGTGTCAGGTGCCTATAATCCCAGCTACTTGGGAGGTTGATGCAAAAAAATTGGTCAAGCCCAAGAGTTTGAGGTTGCTATGAGCCCTAGCACTCTACCCAAGGCAACTGCGCAAGACTCTGTCTCAAAAAAAAAAAAGGCACAAAAGTACCAATTTGATGACTTATTTGTAATGATTAGACATAACTTATTAATAACTTCACTTATTCCCTATCTTTAAAAAACATACAATAAATATGTAGATTTTCTCCATCTTCTAAGATCTCTAATTCCTGCTGTCTGCTTCATTTCCCCTCTGTCCTAACCATGCTTGCTTCCTTCCAAACCTTCTTTCTCAATACTTCCCATTTAAAATCTCTCTCTAGAAATTCTCTATGCCTTTTCGATGAGCCTCAGGTTTTTCTCTTGTAGGTAGTTTTTTCAGACTAACCCTTCCATTGTCTGCACTATCCAGCCCCCGCGACGCTCCCAGATACATCTGGAGCACCCCATTTATGCACACTGTTTTCTATGCCTCCATGTAAATGTCTCAGTACTGACACTGATAAACTGATACTCTTCAAATGAAAAGCTGTACCTTGTCTGCCACTTTACCCCTTTTATTCTTATAATAAATAGCATATAGTTTATAAATGGCAGCTACCAACAACCTAGACAGAAACATTTTATGTCTCAAACATTAACCATACCTGCTCAGCAAAGGACCTTTACAATAACATAAGTTTCAGAGCAAGCAGCATAAAGCTGAGAACTTCCCAGAGGTCTTAAATTCGTGGCATTGCTCATGTCTAGTTTTAGGAGGTGACATTTTTAGTATATATTTTTAAAATCTTTTTAAGGGGGATTAGACAAATTTTCATGAGTCTGGAAATTTGGGGAAAAACATAATAGAAAATTTTCCAGCCCCTTTTTATTATATCCTAGGTCTCAAGCCCTCTCCAGACTGTGGTTCCTCCTCATGGCTCAGACTGCTCAGGTTATACTAACCAAGGTAGGTGGATGCTGCTGAGGGTTCAGTTTCTTGGATCCAGGCCTCCTCATCCTCAGTGTCTCTACAGATCTGCTGCAGATGGAGTAGGTCAATGAGCTTCTTTTTCCGGGTGGCCAGTGGCTCTTTCAGAGTCTCAAACCGGGACACCAAGGACTCCTGCCTTGACCGTATGTCCCCAGAATCAGGGTGGTCTATTTCTTCAAAATATGCAGCCAGGTCTGTGAGGGTGTCCACCTGATCCTAAGGGAAAGAGAATGGGTATCAGGACATTCTATCGCTTAGTGCGAAGTGACGGCAATTTGGTATGGAGGGAAGGGGGCCTGGGAAAATCAGTCCCCATAGGTACTGTGTTAGGAACCCTGTCTAAGTCAGTGAAACAGGATGGGAGGGGTTGCTGCAGGGAGGACCACCTCATTCAACTGGCGACTATTTGTAGCAAAGCAGTTCTCAAAACACATTTTAGAAAGGTCAAAATATTTGTAGAATGCTCTAAGGAAATCAGAAAAATCAGAACTGCAGAGCTTTAATTAGGAGTATTGATAAACATGGGCCTGAAGAAAAGGAGTGGGAAGCTTTTTCACCTCAGCTTCCCTTCCATATTATTTCTCTCTCTTTAAAATGAGATGGAACTGTAAATAAATGGAAACTTCTCAGGCTTAAGGTTGTTGCACAGCAGAAATAATACTTGCATGATGAAACATGTTAAACAAACCTCAGGATCTTAAAAAGAGAAATGTAAAGGCATTGCCGGGGTAACTACCTAGTTTTCTCCATTTGGGCCATATCTGAGAAGGAAGGGATTCAAAACAGAATTCTGAAGAATCATTCTGGAAATATAATTTCTGTTGCACATCTATGTGTTAAAATAGATATAAGAGATACATTCCATCTTTCAGTGAGGTCAACTCTAACTGCCTGCCTGGCAGAAATCCAGTACTCAGAATTTTTGATTGCCTGTTTTGCTTGGGCTTTTAGGGGGCAGGGGTGGTAATACGAGTAGTTCTTCAAGTAGTGTAGGAGCATTAGATATTTAACTTTTTCTAGTTTGCCATCTGGTGCTCAATCTATAAAGAGTTTGATCAATCTCTCCTCAGATTGGGGAAAAAATGTCTATCAATAGCTTCTTAAAACATATACTTAGCTTTAAGAATTAAAGAATTAAAATTAAAATCTCCCACTAGCCAACTCTTCTCATTTCTTAGGACACTGGAAAACATCACCGCATAACAGAGTGATTTCCGAACATAACCATTCTCATTATTATTATGGATCCACTACACTCTTTGAAAACCTCTGAAGTAGTGCAAGGTGCTACAGGCTGGGGCCAGAGAAGACGTGGCTTTTTCTCCTTGTCTGACAGTCTGTTGCCATTTGATCTAGACAAAGTTCTTTCACCTGTTTTGATCTTAGTTTCCTCATCTATATAATGAAGACTTGGGGCTAGAATAGTCTCAACCTTCCTAATGCTGTGACCCTTTAATACAGTTCCTCATGTTGCTCCTATCAACGAAAATAGTTTTATGGTTGGGGGTCACCACAACATGAGGTACTGTATTAAATGTTCGCTGTATTAGGAAGGTTGAGAACCACTGGACTAGAGGATAGTCTCCAACTTTAACATTCTATATCTAAAATTTCCTTTGCAAGTATCATCTGTTAGGCTCTGCTCCCACTAGGAGAACCTGCGCCTAGACATCAGGGGCCCTATCTTTCCCAAATGGAAACATGTACTCCTATTTCTTAATTGATTATATGCACGGTTCATCTTCCTCAAAATGTCCTTTCTTCTCTTCTTTAAATAAAAAAGTAAACAAATCTTATCTTTTCCTCCTTTGAAACTGTTCCTACAAACAGATTTCAAAGCCTTCTTTTTATGATTTTCCTACCTGCAGGATTTGGACTTATTTAAAGCCCCATGAATCAATTTCTAAAAGTATATAAGTGACTTTTTTTCCTGTTTTCTGTAGGTTATTCTGTCTTTCACATTTAATTCAGAGTGACCAAGAAGCAGACAACATAAAAGTGTGTTTTAACTAGACAATTGGTGGAACTTTCAAGGAAACAGCAGAGTCATTTTTAAATACAAGGTAGGATTCTTGGCATGAGAAATTGTGTCACTGGGAGTGGATTTCCACTGAATTCTTCCAAAACTCACATACAGGATTCATGATCTAGAAACTTAGTGGATAGATTTCTTTTAAATGACAACCTGATGGGATGCTGGTGGACATGTTCCTGAAACTAGGAGCTTAGACTTCTGTCTCATAGTCCTGCCCTGTTGCTCGTTTTCTCGGTAACATTGGGGAAGTTGTTTTCTTTCTATGGGTTTCAATTTTCTTTAAAAAAATGGTAAGATTCAAAATAGAGTATTTTCAAACTTCGAATCACAAAATACACCTATCAGAACAGGAAAAGGCAATTTTATCTCCAGCCCTTATTTTACAGATGAGGATACTGAGAAATAAAAAGGTAAAATGGACCTATCAAAGAACACAAAACTAAAAAGTGACACCCTTATACATAAAACTCAGATTTCTGGATTGAGAGAAGAGTGTTAGGTTTAGAAGAGGCACCCAGGTCTTAGGCTGCCCACAGAGTTCTGACAAAAGACCCCGAGCACTCAGGTCTCCTGGTGAGAGTGGAGGAGACACTAGGAAGAGGCAGTGGACCAGCTGAAAATTAAAAAAAAATAAAAAAACTTTTACCTTTCGTCCTTTGTTCCCTTAATAAAAATTACTTATCAGGGGTGTGCACAGAACACTTAGGATTGCCTACAATTGGCCAAAAAGCTAACAGCAAACCTGGCGAGAAGCCACATCCGCCTCCAGGAGGTTGTGCTTCCTTAGTCTGTTCTGCACGTCAGCCAGGCCTTTCCCGTAGTCCTCGGAGGTGACCTGCCACCCCACTTCCTCCAGCCAGCGCTGCAAGTCTTCTGCATTGTTTTCAAATTGCAGCTGCTTGTTAGCTTCGTGCAACTGGGTCCCTGAGAGAAGACATTCGGCACAAGACGTTAAGTATCGTAACTGCCCCATCCACACTGCAATCTACTTTCCCTCAAATTAGGAAGCAACATAATATTTTGACACTACAAAGAGAAAAATAGAACCTCTCGCACTTGGTTATATTAAAAGTCCATTTAAATTTGTAGAATTCCAATGGTAAAATTGCTTTTGAATATAAAAATATTCTCAAAACAAAAATAAACAATAAATTATATTCCCTGGTGAGGTTATAGTTCTGCTGTGTCAGATTTTAACTATCTTTGGTGTTTTCATATATTACTTTTTACTCACTATTCAGAGCTCTTTTTCAAAGGAATTCAAACCCAACATTCTCCTTTTTACAGGAAGCATATTACGTAATACTGATTCAGTTTGAAATTTTGAAGTTTCTTTTTATAAATGTCTTTTACCGAATTTTGCTATCCTGCCCATAGTGTCTGTCTTTCATTACAAACCATGCCCCATAATTTTCTTTTCCAGAAAATTTATTGTTCATATTCTGTTTGCCTAAATTCTTTACCATATGCTATATAACCTTAGAGCAATTAGTTGCGTTGCTTCTGCAAAGCAGTTATTGTGTCTCCTGATGAGAAGTGGTTGTGACAGCTTATTGTTATAGCCAACCTGCATTTTTGTTTTCCTAAACCAAAAATCAGAATGACATCCAAAAAAAATAAGTGTGACACATCATTTCTATAACCAGGGCAGAATCATGTTCCTAGGTTGACATCCATAACGAGGGGCACATTGACAGAGAAAACTCACATCTGGTTAATTGCCAACAATTGATTAATTTTATAGAGTTAGAGCTGAGGCAAAATGTAAGTAGGGGCTATTCAAGAAGACGTGGGAATTTTTTTTTTAATTTTATGAGCTGTGAGATGTGGGGATTTTTAAAAAAGTTTCCGCAGAGGCTGAACATGTTCAGGTAGATGAAAAAAAAACGTGATCAAGATCTATAAGAATTAGATATTGTAGGAATATCACAAGTGACGCCAACAATCTTGTAATGTTTAATTTAATCACCCAAGCCATACTGTCTTGTCTAGTTTATAGAACCAATATTTGTGCACTACATTTAGGTACATTGCCAACACTGCATTTATAATTCATGAAGATACGTTCAAGGGAAAGAAAAAAAAGTAAAAAAGAAAAGTGAAGCGAACAAAGGTAATTTCAGACCCCATCAAAAGAACCTCTATATTTATGAAGAAAACAGAAAATCATGTTAAACTATAGTGTGATAAGTTGAAGGTGGACTTTATAAACTTGTGTACCATCAAAAGGAAGACACAAGGAAACAAACGGGCAGCATCCTTTCTCATAGAGGTCACCAGATAAATTTGTGGTAGGAAGGTAAGTGTGGAGGGTTTCAAATGTAAGAACTGGCCTTTCCCCAAGACCCCTGCTTCTTACCTTTCTGTGCTGTAGCCTCTAACAGCTCCTTCCAGAGGCTGGCTACTTCATGCAGACGAGTGGCCACATTGTCAGCGGCATAGTGGCCACCCTCAATCATCTCCTGGCCGGTTTTCTCTAAGTCATGGAGAAGGATCTCATTAGCTGCCAGTTCCTCTTCAAAGACTTGCTGCTTTTGAACCCTGCTCTTCAAGTTCTGTGTATCCTAAGAAAGATAGGGGGGAGAAGAAAACATTACTAGAAGAGTGAGAGGAAGAAATTTTAAGGATAAGGGGTTATTTCACACTATAAATCTTGCTCTACTAAGAAGAGGATCCCAGGAAGAATTGCACTAGTCCAGTACTCAGAAAACTCCCATGACCCATCTCTTCACCTACACGTGGCAGATACGGCTACCTCATGCAGAATTTATTTGCACTGAGCCTGGATACTGCCTGAAGATCACTTTGAATAAAATACCCCATGCACGCATTAACCCTCAATGGGAGCTATCATGAGAGGTGAAAATTATTTTCCTTCACTTTCCAAGTACATGGGTCGTCAATTCATTTGCCCCATATTTATTCAAGATACCCTGTAGCAAAATTTCTTTAGAGAATCCAAACATGTGCCATCTAGTTATGCAGCCCTAAAGAAAGATGGAGACTTTACCTCCTTCATGTTTACATGGATGGAGCTGGAGCATATTCTTCTTAGCAAAGTATCTCAAGAATGGAAGATAAAGTATCCAATGTACTCAGCCTTAATATGAAACTAATTCATAGCTTTCATCTGAAAGCTATAGCCCAATTATAGCCCAAGAATATGGGGAAAGGAGGGGTGGGGAGGAGGGAGGATGGGTGGAGAGAGGATAATTGGTGAGACCACACGTATGGTCCATCTTACAAGGGTACATGTGCATCTTTCTAAATATAGAATATAAATGTCTTAACCCAATAACTAAGAAAAATGCCACGAAGGCTATGTTAAACAGTTTGGTGAAAATATTTCAGATTACATATAAAACCAGTACACTGTACCCCATGACTGCATTAATGTACACAGCTATGATTTAATAAAAAAAAAATTTAAAAAAGATATTCATAGATCTATCAAGATATAAGAACAAAAGGATCAGAAGAACATATTTAAGACTAAATAATATTTAGGAAAGTAAAGAGACACTGGCCTAGAAATCTAAAGAATAATTCTAGGCCTGATAGCAAATGTCAAAGTTTGTGAGTATATATGTGTACACATAATATTTTATATTATACAAATTTTTTTTTTGAGACAGAGTCTCAAGCTGTCTCCCTGGGTAGAGTGCTGTGTTGTCACAGCTCACAGCAACCTCAAATTGTTGGGCTTAAACGATTTTCTTGCCTCAAATTCCCAAGTAGCTGGGACTATAGGTGCCCGCCACAATGCCCAGCTATTTTTTGCTTTTACTTATCATTGTTGTTTGGCAGGTCCGGGCTGGATTCAAACCCGCCAGCTCTGGTATACATGTCTGGTGCCCTTGAGCTATAGGCACTGAGCCTATATAACATTTTTGAATGCCAAATATATGTTCAGTATGACTCCAAGAAAGAGAAATCTATAGCTCAGAGATAATTCGGGGATTTCCATAGTCACACAAACTAAAGTAAGAATTTAAGCCCAGGTTTACCTTCTCCAGAGTTCATGTTTCTAACCTTTATGTTAAACCATCTTCTAAATAACTGGATCTCTTTGGCCAATTTACTTACCAATCTAGATTCTGGTTCCCTCATTTATAAAATAAGGGATGTTGTTTTCCAACCCCCAACTGTATCTCTATATTATATCAAACTTTTAGGATACTTTTGAATTCTTGGTAGCTTTTCAAAACTTTGAATATATTGCTGAAATAAGACACAATATTTTCCTACTTTATGAGGTTAAAGGGGAGCAGATGACCTGATACAGGGAGAACAGCAGCTACAAAAGATCATCCCTATCCTTCCTCCACTCTGTTAAGGATCACTGGAAGTTGTGCCAGAGGAAAGGGCTGATGAACAGCAGGGTATAGGGAAACCAGAATCTGGATTTGTAACTGGATATATACTCTTAGGGGAGTCATTGCCCTCTTTTCAGCCCCTGTTTCTTCGTCTATAAAATGTAGATCCCAGCTGAACACTGAAGTCCATTTGTCTCCAAGACTGTAATTTCACGTAACTAACTCCTGATACACATATCCAGTGCATGAAAATCCTGCCTACCTTGTAATCCTCATCATCTGCCAACTTTTTCTTTTTGTTGATCCAGTTCTTTAGATCATCTGAATCCTGATACAATTGTTGCAAAAGCAAAGAATCCTTCAGCAATCTGCGTCGAATGGCAGCCCTCTCACGCAGAGCGTCCCGCCGGGCCAGTAGCTGCAAAAACCATGAGCAAACTCACTGTTAGCAAAACCAGTTATGGGCACGTGAGATTCCATGCCCACTTGGTCAGCGTGCCCCCAACAGTTTCTCCGACCCCTGTGCACAGGCAGGCAGAAGCTCTGGGCCCTTGGACATACCCCATCACGGATAGCAGCGATGTTCTTTGAATCATAATGATCATCGTCAATCAATTTGGTTGCAGTCTTGTCTAATGTCTGAAAAAGAAATACAGTGGTTTTTCGCCCTTGGCCCCTGAGTAAGTGGTCAGAATTGGGATGCCTGTTTAAAGGCGAAGCATGACAACATTGGAGGGAACAAGTTGGAAGGTCAGAAGATCAAAGTCCTCATTCAGATTTCTGTTATAAATTAATTGCATTTCAAAATCTACCTAAAGGATATCAATCATGTCCTCTGTGCCACAATATATAACAGGCTATATTAAATGAGTTCATATGTCCCTACAAGATAAATATTTGATCTAATCTTAACTGCCAAGAGGAAGCACTATTAACAATACAGTCATGTCCAGTCGCACAAGTCTATTTTTCCATCTGTCTACTTATCCATCTATTCTTTTATGATATATATATCTGTATCTATATCTATATTTATATCTCCAGCAATGTGGGCAGAGGAAGAAGAAATTGTAGAGGCAAATATATATATATTTGTGTATATATATTATATATATCCCAAAATTATATATATAATTATGTATAAGTTATATATATGTCCCAAAATTATATATAATATAAATTATATATACATTTATATACATTTTATATAAATTATATATAAATTTATATATATTTGTGTGTGTATATATACATATATCCCAAAATAGCTTCGAATTAACTGGAATAGGAAAATAATCTAAAATAAACAATAGCACTTCATATACAATAAATTATTTTATAGTGTTAGCCTTTATCCAATAAGATTAAGCAGAAAGAACATGAATATGGATCAACAATGGAAAATAGTAAGCTCCAAATTGATTGAAGGTTAAGAAGACTTGGAATTTTTGTTGTTGCTTTGGGGGTGTTGATGGCATGTTTGTGCATGTGGGGAGGGGAAGTTAAGGTCAGCACCATCCTAGGACACAGCCAAAGACATCCAATATGCTGGACCCATGAAGTTGTCCTCACATTCCTCTGAGTCCTGCTTCTATATTGACAGGCTTTCTGGACACTGTAAATTGAGGTTAATAGGAAAACAGTGTAGCAGTTTAGATAAGAAACACAAAGATGTAGATATGCTATTAAGGAAAATATGTTCAAAGGAAAAGAATAGATATTACTTACATAGGCAGATATTACTAGAGAAGAAAAACTATAGTAAGATATTACTAGAGAGGAAAAAGCAATTAAAATATAATCATGCACTGAATCAGGAAAAAAATGACTTGCCATCTCAGAAAACTTTCCAAATATGCTTTGTAGAATAAGAAGTATATTAGTAAAAATAGGTGTGATTCTTTTATTAGATGTTTTAATTGTTTTCTTTTTCTTTTAAAGGTAAGTAGGAGGTACCTTTCACACTATATCAACATTTTACATGTTTAGAAAATTAAATCAAAGAGTTTAAAAACACAAAGAAATACTACTAAGAATAAAACAAGGAGGTAACTTAATTAAGAATAATCCTCATGCTATGTTCAGTAGTTCTAAGAGTGATTTTTCTTTCCTTCCTTCTTTTTTCTGTACAAAGGCCCAGGGATTGTCTGAGGTGACCTGAACAGCAGAAGGACAGTGCTCAGCCCAGGGCCCATTTCTTACTGTAATCTTCTCTTCTTGGGCAGTAAAGGCTTCCTCAAAGTCATCGTGCTTCTGGAGAAGGGCCTCCACACTGCCCAGTGAGTTTCCCAGATCCTCATTTTCCAGGAAGGCCTGTAGAGGACAGAAAGGCACATGCCAGCTGTGCTTCATGAGGGAAGAACATTCCTTGGAATATGTCTGAGACAAGGAGGAAGGAGGGAGAGAAGATGGCTGGAAAAAATGCAAGAATTAGCCCAAACCAGGCAGTCGGTAGAGACTAGCCTCAAACAGTAGGAGCTTCAGGCCTCCCTCCTGATGTTCTCACACAATTTTCTTACCTGTTTCTGAGTCTGTCCACATGGAATTTCTCCACTCAAACTAGTCACAATTTTCTCTTCTTGACCCCCCATCAATTTGATATTCATTTTGCCTTCTGTTCAGTTACGGTTCAGTTAAACCTTCTCTGCTATGTATTTAAGTATTTTTATATGTATTTTTCCATGAGGGAATTGTAGGAGCCATACAGAAAGGGCCTATCATTTGTTCTTTGGATAATTTTGTAGTTCCTGGGACAAATACTGGCCCATAGAAGTGGTTGTGAGGGTGCTCATAGTAGTCATGGGGTGTAAGTGTGGGGTAGAAGAAATGATTCCTTGAGGCTGGCTGGAACCCTCCCGCTCTTACCTCTTGTCTACTCATCCAGCTGTCCACTTGTTCGCTGTCTCTGTAGAACAGGTGCAAGTCCAAGCATTGCTCATACTGATGCTGACGCCTGTCCCACAGTTCCAGCAGGGCGGCCCAGTTGTTGGCAAGTATTGCCATCTACGGAAGGGAGAAGACAATGGATCAGAAAGGTCACTGAGGTTACTCTGTGTTAATGGAGCATCTAATAAACACAAAGCCATTTGAAGGATACAAAAAAGAAAAAAATAGGTTTTTCTTTCAAAGTTTCAACACCTAAGCACATAATTTTAGCACAGTAAAAATGGAACAAATGCCGTGAAAGAGGTAACAATATGCTTAATAAGTATAAAGTAAGAAGGAAAGACTAATTCTGGTAAGGACACCAGGGAGTAGAAGTCCAGGAAAACACGGGAAGTCTTGCACCAAACAGACTGAAGGTAGCAAGGGCTGGGAGCAGGCGGCAGGACCGGAGGGGAACATGATGCCGTGATAAAATACTGTAGGAACGCCAAGTAATTAGATTGTACACTGTGCTCTAGAAAAAAGTGCAGTGTATAAAAAAAGGTGGACGCTTAATGAAATTCATAAAGCACTTACAATGTCAAATTGAGCATTCTGCATTTTAGTCTAAAAAAAATCAGAACCATCAAGGAAGAGAAAAGAGATATTCTCAAATCCATAAAAAAGCCTTTGTTTCTGCCCAAGCATCTGCCCAAGAAATTCCAATATAGGATAGCTGTTTCTGCTTTTGTGTTAAATCTATCCAAAAAAAAAAAAAAAATCAGCACAAGTTCTGAGAATCCCAGGATAATAGGTTTTCAAGGACTTAGGGTTCAGCTACTTGTCTGGAAGAAATGGGTTACTAATAAAAACCTGTTTTATGATATCCCCACAGAGTTCTAGAGGAATACAAAACATAGTTATCTCAACCTCACCCATTGCACAGTGCTGCAGGCTGTGCCTGGCATCAAGTGAGAAGCAAAATGGCCTATAGATTGTTACTCTCATCCCAAGTAGTTCCTGGACTTTGTGACTGGAGCAAAAATCTCTCTGGGTCAGAGGGCTGAAGCAAGGCTCTGTGATCCAGGAACTTAGAAAGAGGGCAAACCTGTGTCTTCGTCCAGTGTAATTGTGAGTATTTAAAGTTTTCCTGATAATTTATGTACATTTGAAAAATACGACACAGAAATATCAGCATAATTGAGGGGTGTATAGAGGACAAAAGAAAAGGTACAGGCGTCACCCATGTTCCAGGCACTGTACTAAGTGTCTAGAGGACACACAAGTGATTAGGTACAGTCCTTACAGAATTTACAATCTAGACATGAGCATATGTCAAAAGGTGTCAAAAGGCAAAATGGTACATCGGTTTCCTATCAGGTAGATGTCAGGGGGCTGGTGAATTAAAAACTTAGTTTTGAGTAAGCATACATCATGACCCAAGAATGTCAAGTAACTCAATTTATCCAAAATAGTACAGTTGGCCCTTCACATCTGTGGGTTACATATCTGTGGATTCAACTGATGATGGATAGAGAATATTTGAAAAAAAATTGCATCTGTACGAACATGGTCATTATCTTTACTCCCTAAACAATATGGTGTAACAACTATTTACATGACATTTACATTGCGCTAAGCATTATAAATCTAGAGGTTATTTAAAGCATATGGGAGGATGAACATAGGTTATATACAAATATTAATCTATTTTATATCAGAGACTTAAGCATCCATGGATTTTGGCATCCCAGTGAGGTCTTTAAACCAATTCCCCATGGATAATGATGGATGACTATGTGTGAAAGGGAGTGACATAAAATCGGGTACATATTATTAACATGTTCAGATGACTTCTATCCTCCTCCCATTCAGAGATTATCATATTGCTCTGCCATTAAGTGAGGACTAAATATGTGATTGAAATTTAACAAACTCTGTTAAACTCGGTTACCTTCTCCCGAACTTCATCAGAGGCTTCATGATTGGCATCCAGGAGGGCTTGACCAGTCTCATCAGCAGATTGGAATCGGTCATCATAAGAGTTAATCTCGTGCTGTTGGCCACAAGACACATTTCAAAAAAGTAGCAAGAAACCTTCTGGCATTCCTGGCATGGAATCAATCTTCACCCCCTGCTCCTGCTGGGGGGTTGTTCCTTTCTACCTTGTGCTGCTGATGCCTGTCCAGCAGGACCTCCCCCCCAGCCACATCTGTGGGCAGCTCATCAGCATTGATCAGATCCGTCTTCTCCTTCATCCAGCCTGAGAGCTCATCAAAGTCAGATGAGAACCGCTGGTACCTGTGTGAAAGATGAGGTAAAGGACTCTGAACAAAGGGGTGGGGCTGTCTTGAGCTAAGACTGCTCCTCACCCTAATCCTAGCTCTCCCCACACCCCAGTACTTCCTGTCACAGTCTAGGTCCTCTAGTGGTGCAGGTTGTAAGCTTTCCACACCGGGTTGTATATAACTAGGGAAGGTGTGTCATGTGACACATGGGAATTACTTCTCTATCACTACAAGGTCATACCCACCCCACAGGTATTTGAAATGAAATAAAGTACTCATAATGCAGCCAGTAAATAAACACATGTCATGTAAATAACAGGAAGTGCCCTGTGGGGACGGGGACTAGAATTAGGGCTAGGATTCCTCATGTGTCTCAGCTCACCTTAAATCCTATTATTAATAATGAAAAACAAAAATTGCAAAATGGCTACCTATTCCAGAAAATTATCATTTGATTTTTAAATCATAGCAATAAGGTAAACAGTAGCTTCTGGTTAAAGTGAGGACTGCTGTGTTGTATCAGTCCACAAGAAGCTTCCTTAGGAAAACTGAATCATTTGCCTCTACTGAGGAGACAGAGGAGAGGATCCCCTCACTATCTTATCATACTCCCTTCACTAGTAGTTCTGCTTTTCATATTAACACCTACACCCTGTAGAGAAGACAGAGCCCTACAGAGGAGGAAATTCCCACCAATAAGAAGCCTGCAGTTTGGCATATCTGCTGGTAGCCAAGGCCCGGATGCGCTCCCAGTTGGAGACCAGATCTTCTTTCATCTGCTGGATGTCAGGTGCATCGGAAGGATGGGAAAGCTCAAGCTTGTCTGCTTTGGCACATAGCTCCTTCACCTTTGGGATGAAAAAGAAACCGAGTGAGAAATTCAAGGACTCTGACTCCCTTTGGCAAAGATTTGTGAAAGAAATAAGGCTAAACAATCATATGACTAACGATAACTTATAAATATGTTTATATTGATATATTTATATTAACATACACATACTAATGCACGCCATTAATAACTACATTTTATGGAGTACTTTTTATCTCTCACTGTGCTAAGCACTTCCCAAGTATTTTCCTATTGTAGATTCTTCCTTTAATAATAGTATGAGGTAGTAATCACTCTTATTTCTCTTTTATATGAAAACTAAGAGGTAAAGTATTTATTTACTCAAAGTCATTGAACCGGCAAGTGTCATGGCAAGGATTTGATCTAAGTTGTTCCTTCACCATCTTGATACCATTTCCCTAATTATTACTGTGGGAGTCAGAAAGACAAATCTGCCATGGAGATTAAGAAAATTCCAGCAGTGCCAGACCATTATAAGCACAGTTCCTGAGTAGCAGGGTTATTAGGGCAAAGTGTGGATATGGGTGACTTTCCACATGTTATTACCCCTTTCATAATACTCTACTGTAATCAGACCTTATCAAGGGTGTGGGATTTCATTACCTTATTCACTAAATTATGGGATTTTATCATGCATCATTAGGGAAAAAGACCAAAAACTAAAACAAAAATGGGGAAGAATGAAAGAAGTAGAAGGGTGGAAGTTTGCAGAGACTGTGTATGGGGACAGGGCTGTACTTAAAGCACAGCGAGAGTCGGGCTTTCTGTGGGCTGACTCCACTATGGGTACTTGGGAGTGACTGGTCTCAGTTATAGCTGAAGTTGTGAGGGAAGAAGGAAAAGGTGGATCATTCAAGAAATTAGGCCTATTCCAAGCTCTCATGTGCCTGTCTGTGCCCACTTCCTCTAGGTCTAGTATTTAAAAGGGGAATCTAAAGGTGGGTTTGGCTGTAAATGTCTTGGAATTTATTACAAAAGGAAAAGAAGAGAATACTTTTCTGCTCTCCTGAGTACAGAAGAAAAAGAAACAGGTTTCAGCTGCAACAGAAGAAAGCAGCACTGGTAGATGAAATGAATGAATCTCTGGCTACAAGATATATTTTACTGGGTGAGATTAGGGAACCATCAGTGGAGGTATCCACTTTTTGTTTTTAAATCATGAAAAAGATCAGAAAAATATCATAGAATACAAGTTATGTATGTATAATCTGAATAAAAATAATTTAAATAAAAATAAGGAGTATCCAGTATCCATGTGTGAGTTAGGAACAGACAGAATAAAGAAGTATATATTTTGGGACAGTGCCTGTGACTTAAAGGAGTAAGGCACTGGCCCCATATGCCAGAGGTGGCAGGTTAAAATCCAGCTCCAGCCAAAAAACTGCAAAAAAAAAAAAAAAAAAAAAAAGTATATATTTCAGTGCCAAAGAATTTCTCTTTCATTGAAAAGAGAGATTTATTTTTATTTTTTTAATTTCAAATTAATATGAGGGTACAAATTTTTAGATTACATTGTTCTGACTTCCAAGGTAAAGTTCCAGTTGTAAAAGAACCCCTTACCCAGGGGGCACAGTATACACGTATGTATTGTCCCCATTAGGTGAGATCGGGCTAAATGCCCTCTCTCCTTCTGTGGATGAAAGAGAGAATTTATTGTGTCCCCTGGAGGCCTGGTACTAGGCAAGATGACCACCATGTGCTTCTTCTAACTCAAGGGGCAAGCCATTCCTCTGACAGTGGCTTACCTTGTCATTCATGACTGCAAGGTTCCTCTCAAGCCCCTTGTGACTGTGAAACAGTGCCTCAGAGCTAACAAGGTCCTGACCATAATCCTCAGAGGTGAGTAGAGGCTCCTTCTCCTTGATCCATTGGATGGCTTCAGTCACATCCCTGTCAGACAATGGCAAGAGTTCCAACCAAAGAAAAAGATGGCAGGCTGTGAGGGGGAGCAGGATAACAGAGCACACGGCAAGGACCCTCCAGCTTCACCAAGAGCCATTATATTGCTTTCCTACATACTTGCAAAAAGTAACAGAAGACGTTCTTGTTTAGTAGTTAGTTCCACTGAGATATTAGGAACATGGACCTCCTGACAGTTAAGCTTCCGGAGACAACTTAGCATATCTGGGTTAGCTCTCTATGAGGGCTCTTCTTCTTCTCAAGACTACCTTCCACCACCCTCTAGTTCTCAGTCTGCTTTTCTCGCCTCTGCAGAGCTTCCACAGCTGAATCACCAGGGCGGTGCTATCTTTGAATTGCTTTGGGTTCCAATCTTCATGGCATTGCCTTATCTACCTTCTCCCTTGCTGTCTCAGAGGCAAGCACGAGATCCACTTTGGCCAACCACTAATTGCTAGCAAGAGTACAAGGAAGCTAATACAAATAACCAACATGATGCTATTTTAAAGTTTTCTGGAAAGCAATAGCCAGATTCATACCGTTTGAACCGCTGGAGGTCTGCGGCCTCAGACAGGGTTCTCCGTCTCTGCAGAGCCAGCCCGTGGAGACGCTCCCAGGCAGCATTCACGTCATCCTGCTTAGACTTAATCAAGGGCAGCTGAGGATGGTTCTCCTGGGGGAGGAAACCAACAGTGGAGTTATAAAAAGATGAGGCTACCTAAAAATAATTTAAACACTTCTTGTTTTAGACTGGTTCATACTTTGTTTGAAGTGGAGACTGACCATTACAGCCAGACACTGAAAACCACCATCTCCCTGCCCCCTACCTCTGACCTGAAGCATATCACCAAAACTTAGAAAGCCAACAGGTCAGATATTGCTTCCAGTGCCCACAACCCTGGACTAGCCCCTGCCCACAGCCCCAGACCAGCCTACGAGCATAGGACACCCACAGCCCTGGACCAGCCTACTAACACAGGACATCCACAGCCCCGGACCAACCCCACGAGCACAGGACACCCACAGCCCTGGACCAGCCTACGAGCACAGGACACCCACAGACCCGGACTAGCCTATGAGCACAGGACACCCAGAGCCCTGGACTAGCCTACAAACACAGGCTGCCCACAGACCCAGACCAGCCTACAAGCACAGGCTGCTGATGTTGTTTTCAGGGCTCCACCTTGTTGCTCTCTGTCAAATCCTCTGAAATTCCTGGTAACCACCAAGAAGAGAAAAATTCCCTTTCTGAAATATGAGTTAATTTTCCCAAACTCTAGTACTATGATTCTTCACTTTGTTGTGTTCCTAACACCTCTGAGAATCCAAAGAAAGCTATTTCTCTCTTCCCAGAAATAGAGACACATACTTACACAGACAATTTTGAAGAAAATTCTAGGCATTTTTGCAAGCCATCAGAAGAGATATGTGAATACTAGATTAAGCTGGTAGCATCAGCCTATTTTGATACTTGGCAATTTTGAAGAGTTCTTATAGGCCCATCTCCCTATTATTCCTGTCCCCAGTTCTTCCCATTTCCATTCCTATTCCCAGGCCTCTCAGACAGAATGTTCCACTTTCTCCTTCTTAAGTGTATGGTCCTTTCTGCTATGGCAGTGTAGGACCCCCCTCCAAAAAAGCAGAAAAAATACTGTGTCCTGGATTCTTTCTGTGTAAATTACAAAAAGACCATGACATTTTGCCACTTCTCCTTTCACAAAGTGGAGTCAGTCTCCTCAAGTCCTGGATCTGGAATGGCCTTTGCCTTCTTTGCCAATAAAATGTGCAGAAAGTGGCTTTCTGGGGGCTCCAGCACCTAGGCCTTAGGAAGCCTCAGAACACCAGCTTGTAAAGAAGTGTGGTCTACTGGATGATGAGAAACTGCACAGAGGAAGCTTTCATCATCTTCATCAGGGCTCCTGACATAGAAAGAAGCCCCGCTTTTATGCTCAACTCCAGCTGAGGCACCTAATAACTTCAGCCGCATGGGAACACCTGGTGATCAGGAGAACAGCCTGGCTGAGCAGCTCAAAAGTGCAACTCACTGAATTTAGGAACAGATACAATGTTTGTTGTTTTCAGTTAGAAAGTAATAGATAACAACAGAAGAAAAAATGGTCGAGGAAGAAAATGTAGGGACCATAGGAAATGTAGACTAAACATTAAGTTATTTTTCTGACTCAGCATTCATTCATCCTAAAATCTTGGCTCTATCAAACAGAATGATCATTCTCACTATAGACCTGCAATCATCATGAAACCATAAACAGAAAAGCACAATATAGCCAACTGTTGGCATTTATTTTATATATGTATTTTATATAAGTACATACATATATATATGTGTATATATCCATATATCTATACATGCACAAAGGTTGCCAAAAATTGCATATATATTTTAAGAAAGAAAGAAACCTCATTTACATTGCAATATTCGATATATACTGATAACAAAAGTCATCTTTTGAACACCTCTTATAATTGCAGAAGTCAAGCATCTCTTGAGTATTACAACTGGCTTCCTAGTTTTCCTGATACATTTGGGTTATTTACTCCCACTCTGAGTCTTTGCTCAAAAGATTCAGAGATTACAAACATCTTTAAATATTTTCTGAAGTAAATAAAAGTATTTCTACCTCCTTTCCCCTTCACCCACCAAATAATCATGTATAATGGTATTGTGTATATATGATAATCCAACATTATTTTATATTCTCTGCTACTTTAACTTTACTCCTTTTTATGAAGAAGTTGCCCCATAAATACTAATACTTCCTGGTACAAAAGCTTTATTCTTGCTCATTGTGGATATAATTCCTCTGTGCTCACACACACACACATGCTCCTCCTCTTCAGCAGACTGACCTGACAAGAGTGGATCCAGAGGTGGAGGAAACTGCTCAGGCCATGTTCCTCATGTTCTTTCAGTGTCCCATCTCCCTCATATCCCATCTACTAATAGTCAGAAGTTCTCATTAGGGATCGGAATGCCCTCCCTGGGAAGACTCTTTTGCTCCCACCTCACCTTGGCACACTCATTGGCATATTGGTTCACTCCATCCACTCTCCCCTTTCGAGCTGCCAGGTCCACTTGGAACTCTTCAAACTTCTTATGCAGAACTTCTGTGCGTTCCCAGTCCTCACCGAGCTCCACTGAAGTGACTATAGCCTCCTGTAGACACAGACAAGTTCACCAAATAGCCAGCAATTATGTAAGCATTCCTACAGATCAAAAGCCTCCCAGCCCCTGCTTGTATTCCCACGATAACTCAGATGAAAACACTAGGGGACCATGGGTGACCCCTTCTGGCAAGAGCGAGAACTAGGAATATATTTTCTGAGGTAGCTCTTTGGCCTATGGAGGAATACTTTTTGAGGGAATCGTTTAGCCAAAGTGGAGTCACTGTTGGCCAAAGTTCCAGGAATAATATGGAGAATAAATTCATCTTATTCTTACTTAATGCAAAGTACAGAGTATCTAGAAAATCATTGCACTAAGTACTTGCTTGTGTAAATCTTCAGTCCTAATGCTTGGGTTATTCTTTAAGTATTTTGAAATATAAGACCCCCCATAGTTAATAGACACGGAGAGATAAGAGATTATAGAAAGTGCTGTCAACACTCTCAGCCAGGGACCAGAGTAAGAGCAAAACCATAGGAGATGCCATTAAAGATCATGGAGATAGAAGAAGGGTAGATCTGGATCATCTTCCAAAGCAATATCTTTGTGTAAGTCTGGCCTTCTCCACATTCAGATCCATACATTTAGACTTGCCTGCCACAATAGTCATCTCTGGAATAGCCCTACATCTTAGCCAAAATTCCTCTTTCTTCCAAGGAACAAAGTCCAAGAGCAGACACTGACTTTTTGGTGAGTAGTCTGCAGTAAGGTGCCATGTAGAGCCCAGGACAGAGAGGAGGAAGGTCCCCTGGGCTTACTGCTGAGTCCTATACCTTGTCTCCGATCCACTCTAAGATGTCAGCACACTCCTGTAAGTACTGCTGGAGTCTCAGGACCTGCAGCAGCCGGGTGCCCTTCTCCTGGGTCAGCTCCACTAGCAGGTCCCACAGGCGACGCAGTTCCTCCAGATGGGCCTTTTGGGAAAGAGGCAGAACCACTCAGGGGCTGTGGATCAGGGACAGATTCAGAGACTTGTGCAGAAAGGGATGTGGATGCAAATTCTACTCTAATTTATGCATACATTCCTTGCTCTACAAATATTTAAAGGAGGAAATAGGATATATATATATAGAGAGAGAGAGAGAGAAATACCTAGTAAACCACGACAAATGTGAACTTCCATAAAAGAAAACTTTGGAAAAACGCCGTGGGGTTTTAGAAAATGGAATAATTACAAACAATATAATGGAAAGGAGAAAGGATGCATAAAATTTGCTCTTTGAAATGAGCCTTAAGGAACAGAAAAAAAAAATTAACATGTAGATAGATGATAGACACAGGGCGTGCTAAGCACAGCAAGCAGCAATGGCAAAAGCACAGAAGTAATTTAGTACAAACTAAAAGTATACCACCAGAAAGTATACCAGCCATTTTGCTAAGTTATAAAGAAATCATTGGCCCCAAATCTGTACGAGTATTTGGGAACTATATAGTTTGAGGCTTTATAGAAGGCTTTGAATGCCAGGTTAGCTCAGAACATCATGCATTTACCTATCTTGTGAACTTAAAGTTACCATCTACACAATATCTTTAAGAGTCTTACCTTTTTCAACTACTCTTTTGCTTACAGCAGCATATTTCTCTCTGTACCCTGCAGTGGGGCACCATCTGATACGGCTTTAGTTATTCTGACAGACGTGACAATGTTTCCAACATTTTTCAAACATTTTGACTAATGTAGGGGTTGGGCACCTATGAAACTGTGAATAATGCAAACATTATTTCTGTTTCATAGAAATAAATAAGTTTTGTGACTTTCTTTTAATGAGTTGTTCTTTATAATAAAATCCTGTTCTGGTGAAAGTCAGTGTTCCCTGGCTATACTTTACTGACAGTAAAACAGGCAGAGTTTTTATGCTACCTGTAGAAAGATCAGGTCGGTTTCACAATAGGTAATGCAAATCTGCCTTGCCAATTTAAAGAATATATAAGCAATAAAAAGTTCACTCACACCAAAAGATTCTGACTCTATCATGTTAACCTTTGGAAGAGTATGTGGATTAAGTCAGAAAATAGCTGTTACTTTAAGGATAAATTACAGAGTAGTAAATGCTTATAAAAATGGTGATGATCTTCAGTTGTGAGTATTCAGGGAAGACTTTCTAAATACATGGAATGTTAGGAACGGAAAGGGAGGGTTTGGAGAGGTACAATAGTAGTCACAGGGCGTGGAGTGTGAAAAGAAAGAGGTATCAGAGACAGAGGGAAAATGATGGGGGGATTAAAATGAGAGAGCATCCTTGTTTGAAGAATTTAAGGGACAAAGACACTGAGGTCAGAAGAAATAGCTAGAAAGGACATTTGGGAAAGCCAGTTGATGTGGGAAGTGTGGAACAGCTTGACGTGGGCTTCGTCATGAGCCATTTTGATCTGTGGTGGCGTGAGAAGGAACGTAGTGCCATTTCTTGACAGCTTTTGTCTCATAGTTCTTTTCTTCAAGGAACTATGAAGTCCAAGGAACACAAGGACATCCCATCATTTTTTCTGCCTCAATCCAGAAGATAAGAGAAATGAGCCCTGTCAACATAATCAACAATTAGAAATTTCTATTTGAGAGCCCCACCATACATTTACCTTGGTGTCCTCATAGGCAGCATGACCCTCAGCAAATCGGATTTCCCTGGTTCTTTCCAGGTCAGGGATGATGAATGATCTTGCTTCCACCTCTGCTTCAAAGGACTGGTGCTTCTGATATTTTCCCTGAAGTGTAGAAATCAGAGTTTACAGTTAATGAAGCCCAGTCTTGGTGGGAAATGTTTGCTTTGGTAGAGTCGTGGAACACAGGCTCTCAAAAGGTCCCAGGTTCAAAGTCAGAGGCTACAGAGAAAGTCTTTTCCCATCCCCACTTTTGTCCTTAGGGAATTTTCAGTAAATGTCTTATTATTTTAAAGGATCAACAGATTAATGTGAATAAAAGAGTGTAGTGTTTTTACTCTTCAGAAAAGAGGAAAAGCTGAGTTCTATTGAAAGTAGAGCCCAATGAGAAAGGTAATAGTTAAACATAATTTTTTTTTTTAATTGAGATGTTTGGGGCATTCTGGGCTCTGTTCTTGTTATGTGCAAATTGATCCACTTAATATAGTCCAATACTTGGCTCTTGTTCTAGTGCTTCCTTCCAGTACCAGTTGCCACTCTGAGGCAAATGTAACCCTTTCTTCTTATCATGACTACGGCACATGTGATAATTCTAGTGCATAGAAAGGGGAGGTAGCTCCCACCAAATATCATCTATTAGGACTTCTCATTTGCCCTTAATAAGAGCCATGAATAGTCATTTGGGAAAAACCTAGGAAAAAATCTAGTGAACTCATGTCTTTCTGAGAAAAGTACAGAACAGTTGCTTCAGAAAACATTGATGGTGCTTTACCCCAATTCCATTATGAATGTCACAGAATATTGAAATCACATGGTTTTTCAGAAATTCCTGGGATTTTTAGTTACCATTTTGCCCACAGCTTAATTTCAGATGAATATTACATTTATTAAATACTATCAAGGATGAGTTTCCTTTGCAAATAAGATCCTGAAGTTTCAGGTGTTGCAAACATGGGCTATGTAGTGGCAGAATTACTGGTCCTAACAGATAGTCTAATCTCTCTATTACATTACCACCCAGTTAACCAGATAAACAGTTACATTACCAAAATGTACGGTCTGAATGTGAGTTCATTACAAGAACTACTTCCATGTTTTCAATGAATGACAGACTGCCACTTTTTGTTTGAGTTTTTTTTTTTTTTCTCTGTCTTAACCCTCCAACTTTATAAAGGGAGATGGACCCATAGATTTTCTCTTAATTCAATTCTTTAACTTCACACTCCACTGGCTTATTTTTGTTTTGTTTTGTTTCTGAACGGAATCTGATTAGACTCACACCCACTCTTTAACATTTACATCAAGAAAAATCTGCTTTTCTCCTTAGAGATCTTAGGGTTTGCTCTGTGGAAGTTAATGGAGCTTAGTGACCTGAATATTAGTTGGGTCTTCGTAGCTTTTATCTTGTGCAATCTTGAGTTTCTCCAAGATCCACTTCTCCAGATCATCTGCATCTCGTCTGAAGACCTGGTAGTGATAGGACTCTTCAAGCTTCTGACCCCTCTCTGCAACCCGCTCCTTGAACTTCTGGTACCGAGTCAACACTTCCTGACGTCTCTCCTGGATCTCTTCTGCTGTCTCCAAAACTTTTGGCCCAGTGCTCTCCAAAACCTGCAAATTAAAAAGCTTCTGTCTATTGCCATTTCAAATCTTAAGTGTGCTGCCCTTCTTACACATCCCAAGGCATTCTCTCATGTTGAACCTGTGTTCAGATATCTTTAAGCCTGGAAATGCCTATTGTTAGAAGAGCTGTGGTGTATTCACGTGATTTTTAACCATAGATAGCTACTGTCTAGGCTAAAAATCCTTGATTATTTAAAACACTCAATTTTTCACATTCATTTATGCTAACATTTATTAAGTTGTATAAACAGAATTAAATTGAGCTGATGAGGGAGCAAGTTTGAATGAGCAAATCACAGAATTTTAGATAGAAATGTAATTGTATTGCTTTTAAAGGCTAAAAAGGTGTGGGAAAGTGCTGATCATTCTGAACTTAATTTCATGAATAACTAAGAATGGCTTGCAGTTAAAATAGTGAATGATATTATATGCAAAATTTTGACAGATTGTTTTCTTCATACTTAAAAATAAAGCATTGTTTACTCTTTTTTATTTGCTTTATTTACAAACATTACAAATAAAGAGTTCAGCCATCTTCTAACCCATTATCACAAATTTTAAATAATTAGCACCTCTGTATTTATAAAGCCTTGTACTATCAAACAACATAAAGTGTCACTTTCCTATTAAGGGAGCCATGCTGTTTGTGAAATATCCAGCAAAATCACCACAGTTCACCCTCATTCTTCTGGTTAGAGGTACCATTTTCCCTAGCTTGCCCCAGCCAGAACACTTAATAATCGGAGTATAGATTTTAGTCTCTCTTTATTCCTCCTAATTGCAAATGTTACTCTGTGAACTGCCATTACTAGTCAGACTGTAGAACCAGATCACTCCACAGAGAAACATCTTTATTGGGTATCATTTTGTTTCAGTTACCTAGTTGTTCTGTGTGGGAATGGACTTAAGTCATGGCTGGGTTTTGGTGTTATATAGACATCAGGTCATTGTTCAAAGTTAAACAGTCATGAAAAGAGAGCTAAAATTAAAATTCTCTACTTCTTAAAAACCCCTCCCAAAAAAGACTTCTTATTGACCCTGTGAAAGACAGTGTAGGAAGTTTAAAGAAGACAGGTTAATCATGTACTCACGGTTTCCTTTGGAACATTCTCCATTTTTGCTTAAGGTGTAGAACCTGGAGAGATTAAATGTAGGTGAGAGAGAGAGACAGACAATTCATATGGAACTGTCTAGTCTAATTCATGTAGGAATGACAGAAACATTAAGTATGTGGCAAAGACAAAAAAAAAAAAAAGTCCTCTTACTTGGTCCCAGAATCCCGCCAGCCACGGACAATCAACATTATCTTCGGGAGACATATTCAGCTTAGGGAGTGGCTAACTTTCACAGATGGTAGATGACTCAGCAGTTTGGGGAGGGTTGTGACTGTCAAAGTTACTCAGTAGGACTTCAAAAAAAAAATACATGAAAGCATGTATTTGGATGGAAAATTAGGAGAAAACCAGATATAAACATAAAACAAAAAAGGTGTCTTAAGATGGTGTTTTTTTTTTTTTCCTTTGATTAGTTTTAGATTTTATAATTTCTGAGAATCATAAATCAGGAAGGAATTTTGGGTTGCCCATTCTTCAGAACTCAGGGCATATATAGGTTCTTTTTTCAACCTATCTCTAGGAAATACAACTCAACAGTAAATATTTAACAGCCTCTAAATCAATAGAGTATCCTATTTTTGCTGCAGTTTTTCCCAATATGAGAAGATTGTATTCCTGACCTCATATATTTGCTTTGCAAAAATTTGATTTAGATTTATCCTTAATAATTTAAATGGAAGGGGTAAGAGAAGTAACATAGGTGAATGTGTTTATTTTCCATTTCATGAAACAAAAATTAGGATATCTCCTTTGACAAATTATTTATGATGTCATAGAAGATCTGAAAATGGAACTGACTTCTAAAATGTGGTATATAAGTTATTCCTTATTTTATGTATTATTTTTACTGGAGAAAAAAAAGGAGGAAGAAATTCTTTTCAAAGGCATAGATCTTTTGAGCTATCTTACAAAAGTGAAAAAAATAAACAAAAAGAAAATAAAGGGCTGATTTTAGACTTTCTTACAAGGTACTGGAGCTATCTATGCCAAATTCTATTCCAATATAAGTTCAGTTTGAACAATCTAGTTTTCATGGTCTACTAGAAGAAATTTCAATTCTGCATATGTCCTTTCTCCTGTCCCTGGACCTTTTTACCTAGAGAAATTGACAGTCCTTTACATGGAAGTCTTTCTTCTAAGAAGTCTGGATTACTGGTGGATTAACATCTGGACCTCCGACCTTCTCCTTGATATTTCTCTGTCTCCCAAGAGTGCTTATGGGCACTGATCTCATGGAGATCCTGATTTAAAAAGATAGATAAAGAATTCGTGGCAGATACCATGAGGTGTAGAAGCATGCATAGTCTACTAAGTGGATGTCGTGTTGTATAAATGAGTCCTGGGAGGGTACAGGAGACACTAGAGTTAATCACAGCTAGTTTAAATAAAGAGAAAATGGAAAAAGGAAAGTTATATTTTTGATTAGAGAATTGTAAACTTGAGTAATATTGAAATTTTACATTTTCAGATACAGTTAGGAAGGAAATAATTTTAGAGGACCTGGGTTGATGAGGTAAAGTGTATACAATTATCTATAAACCCACCTTTTTATTTTTTGAACGGTATTATCTTTTGCTCTGATACAGTTAGGAGCCAACAATTAGAGAAAGTTTTCAATCAGAATTATATTTTAAAGAGAAATATATTATACATTTTTACAAGGGCCAGGGTAGTTTAAAGGGCTATTGCATTTGACCATAGTTATCAATTCTTAAGCAGGTCTTTAAATAATAGTTTAATCAGCAGTGACCAGCTTGCCTCAGCTTCTGTTCCAGCAACAGAACACTGTGATGTGTGTGATCTTCTCCCAGCCTCAGAAACTCTAAGTGATGCTTTATCTCCACAAATTCCAATGTCTTCTCAATCTCAGTCGCTGAAATTAATACCTTGTTTTCTGTGGATATTTTGGAGTCCAACTTTATCTGCTCATTAACCAACAAAGACAAACACGTTAACTTTAATGTAAA